GATTGAAGTCTCACCCCTTCTATTTGACTGCCAATGCTAGACAAGAGTTTACATTACAATGCTGTGACCACCATCTTGTTTGTTTTCTCACATACACAAACAAAGCTGTTGCTACTTATCTGGGGACTTAAGGTTCGTCTTACAAATTTCTGCCCTCAGAAATGTAAAGTGTATTAGGCTTACATTAATATTTCACCCTCTGGATCATCTCCGACTGGTTTTTAGAATTTATTCAAAGAAGTCGTTGAATGGACTGATTGGATTCACTGAAGTGAATCTGTTCAATCGCTTCCTATATATCTGTGCATACATTTAATTATTGGAATGGATGGAACTGGAGTAGAGGTGGAGATTTGTCCAAATCAATTCAGACTTCTGGATTCAATTAACTGTATGAATCAGTCTGAGCAGTCAAATCATATTGATTTGAATCTTCAAACTGAATTACATCTGTGGAGGTACTCATAACTCTGGTTTCTAGAATTATATTCTTTCTCCTTCATGAAGAGCAATATTAAAATTTTAAAAGTTCTTCAAATTCCTATCAAGATTCTGGAGTGGAGGACTTTAGATAATGAAGGAGAGAACCTTCCTAGATCTAAGGAGAAATTTCCTGACAGTGAGAACAATTGATCAGTGGAACAAACTACCTTCAAAAGCTGTGAATGCTCCATTACTGGAAGTCTTTAAGAAGAGACTGGACAGTCATTTGTCTGAAAAGGTATAGGGTCTCCTGCTTGAGCAGGGGGTTGGACTTGAAGACCTCCAAGGTTCCTTCCAACTCTGCTATTCTTCATCTAGATAACACTGGCTGAAGTTTTAACAGAGAAAATACAGATGACAAATTAAGAGAGTGACTTGGGCAATTTTATCCTATTGCATTTACAAAAGAGGCTTGTTAAAACCTTAAAGAACTCTGTGTGATGAGTCAAAGAAGAAATGAAGATAAATCAAACCCTACAACAAATTTGAATTAAAGTTGAATCAGCTAAAGAAAAAGTGATCTAGTCAAAGACATAGATCTCTGGAAATGTTAAATATAACTTACCACATTGATAGATGAGTAATTTTAGATTTTTTTTCAGGAAAAAAAAACATAGTATTTTAGGAATTGACAGAAAAAAGCCAGTTATAATAAAGTGGGAAGAAGAACACTTTATGTACGGCTATATTTAAGAAATCTGAGCCCCTAGGTGTGGTTTCGTGTATACCAGTTACACTTCCACTAAACATTGTTGGTTTTGATAATGATGGCTGTGCTTTATTTTTAAGAACAAACTTGCATGGTTATTTGTTCTTTAAAGTACTACTGACACTCCCTTCCGTGTGTACACAGCATCAGCTGCAGAAAACAAGCCCGCAAAGTAAGGTTTCACAATTTAAGGCTGGGCATGATCCCTTTTTGTGGGATATATAATTACAGTGGTGTTCTTTGAATGGTTGCCTTGAAAGTTAAATGCCAATTAATGAATGCCAAATTGGAGGGGTGTGGCAGAGATGATAGAGGGGATTTGGGGTTTGGTTGTTCAAGAAGCCAGAGACGCAAATGAATACATCTCAATTTCTGTAAAAAAAAAAAAAAGAGAGAGAGAGAGAGAGAGAGAGATTTAGACAGCATTAAGAAGACAATTGGCAGGGGGGCAATGCATTGGATAATGAAACACATAATTTCAGAATGGGGTGGGCTCTCTCTCAGTACAGTTCTTTTTATAAAAAAAAACTGAATAATAATCTATGTGTAGGAGCAAAAGAGAGTGGAGTTAAGAGAGTCATCAGTCTGGAGTCATTATGTTGCCACAAACAATCCAAGTCCAGCCCCCTCTTGAATTCCATTGACTCTTATACAGCACCAATTTGGTACAGGGTGTTAGTTGACTAGATTCTTGTGTGTAACTTTTCACAGCCACACAAAATCATTTTATCAATTACCAAACAATTAACATTTGTACTGGAAGAGACACTCATTGTCTGTCTTTGATTTCAAATGAGTTTCATTCAAGCTTCCTTCAGGGGTTTTCAAGTTCCTTTGTTCCAAGAGGATTCTTCTACCAAAGTATAAAAGGTAAGAGCACTTTTGTGATTTCACCCTGTCTACATAGAAGATTCGGTGGGTTTTCAGCTATGTACCAGAAAAATCAGGCAGCTGCAGAGAAGGTTCATATACTTCACAGCTATTATGGTTTATTTGGTTTTTGGCTTTGTAAAGGAATGCAACAAATTATAAGGCAGGACCACTTGTTGTCCCTTAGAGTCCATGTGTAGCCCTTTTATAGCCATGTTCTTTTCACTCTGTGTGATCTTATGGCCAAACTACTTGTTTGTCTGCCTTAGTCTGTGACTTTGTGTCCACGTTGTCTCTTCATAGGATGTGGTTCTTCCCCCAAAAATGTTGCATTGCTTTTTTCTCTTTTTGGGGGGGGAGTTTAAGGTGAACCCCATGTATATTTGCCTTGAAAAAATAAAACTATTTGCATCCAAAAGAAAACATGATAAGCAAAAACTAATACTCTATCGTTAGTTCCCTCATATTTTTCCTTCTTTCCAATAAATGTGGCCTTATATTACATTTGGGTCTAAGTATGTGTGCACACACATATATGATGCCTAGGTAAGTATTTCTGTCTTTTTCTCTCTCTTTCAGAAGCAGACTTCAAGCAAGGAGCAGAACAAAAGCAAAATAATTATGGCTTAAAATTGCCTTAAAACCAGATACCCAATTTATATATAAAAAAATTTCATCCCATCTGTATATGCCAATTTTCTCTCAGGTTCAAAAATATAAAAGTATATAGATACTAACAAATACATTTACTCTTAGCTTCCTTCCAGTCAACACAGTTAAAAATAAGGGAGGAAAAGCAAGGAATAAAAGAGGTTGGTAAAGGATACCTTCCTAGAGAAGAAACTCTGGGGATTAAAAAATGGATAGAAATAAGACGAAGAAAAGCAAAGTGTTATATTCATAAAATGCATCTTATTCTAAGAAAATGCTAATCTTGAGACTCACCTTCAAAGAAAATCAGGTTTTTCAGTGGCAGTGCAATCCGTGGCACTTCCTGCCAATTCCTTTATTTTTAACAAGTTATTTCTAAGATGTAAAATAACCGTCTCCCACTCCCAATTTAAAGATAATTATTTGGGGAACCAACTCATTTATGCCCAATAATGCCTTTTTAAACTGCGCTTACAGAGCTGTTTACTTGGAATGCACATTGGCTAAAGATTAAACTGAACATGAATTGAGTTTATGCAATTACAATATACCTCTTTTGTGCATGAAGCATGAGATCTGCATACTGTGTAGTAGTTTCTGGATCAAATAAATGAGTTAAGGGGAATTTAATGTCTCCTTTTTAATAAAAAAAAACATGTTTCTGAAATTGCTGTTAAACAAAGCTTCCCTGAAGCCACTGGGAGTTTTCTATGAAATGCAAATGGTGGTTTCGAATGAAAATTTTAATCAGGAGGGTGAATGAGAAAAAAATGATGAACTTTTCCTCCCAAAGGTCTGCTGAGGTTCTACTCACAATGTAGCAGTTAACCTCCCACTGTGTTTGGCTTCAAAACTGTCCTGTCAACCCAAAGTGGAATTTCACCATTACCCCTTTAACTTGAGATAGCATCTAAGAAATCGAAAGAGTTTATTTGCTCTGTGTAGTGATAATTGATTAACTGCACACAGTAGGCTTGAAAGCTGAAAGGAGCACTAAGGAACCTTGATTAGTGAAATTGGTTAAGTTTGTTTAGCGGACATTTTTCTGAAGCTAAATTATAACCTTTTTGGTGGCAAGTAATAAATAGCTTTGTCTATAAACCAATATGGTTGGAAGCTAAATAAAGAAGGAGGGCTGTGGTTTCCTGACCATGTTCTGAGGCAAAAAAAATAAAATAAAAATGCAACTCATCATGATATTGGAACGACTATATCAGCAGAGAACTCAAAAAACATCAATGTCTGGAAATGAACTATTCTTTGCCTAGATGTCAAAGGGGGACACTATTAAAAGTCTCATTAAAATTTTAAAATGTGCTCACAAATGAGCAGGTTTTAATATAAATAGCCCTCAACTTGCAACCACAACTGAGCCCAAAATTTAGGTTGGTAGGTGAAACATTTGTTGTGAGTTTTGCCCTGTTTTACAACCACTGCAGTTTTACAACCACTGAGTCAACCGGCTCAAGGTTGACTCAGCCTTCCATCCTTCCGAGGTGGGTAAAATGAGGACCCAGATTGTTGGGGGCAATGTAAATATATATATATACCGTAAATGCCGGCGTATAAGACGACTTCCGCGAGCGCTGAAATCGGCGCCAAAGACAGGGGTCATCTTATACGCCGAGTCGTCTTATATGCCGGAAATACTGGTAGTTTCCGGCGTATAAGACAACGTTCTAGGAATGTGGCCCGGTTATAAAGACGGGGGTCGTCTTATACGCCGGGTCGCCTAATACGGCGGCATATACGGTACATTGCTTACTGGTATACACCGCTTAGAGAGTGCTTGCACTTAAAGCGGTATATAAGTCTCATAAATAAATAAATAAATAAACAAACACAGTTGTTAAGTGAATCTGGCTCCCCCCCATTCACTTTGCTTGTCACTCCCTTTTATATCACCAACCTCTAGCCATTGTTTAAATATTTAAGCTTTAAATTAAACATTAGTAATGATTGCTAGTTTCTATTTAAGTCTTAGAAACCATATTTCAGGTGTCTAAATCTTCCTTGCTCTGTGATATGTGTTACACAAGAGAACTAATCCTGCTTCAATTTGGTTAAAAAATCTGTTGTGGATATATACTATCAATTTTTCCAGTCTGATATAGTAGGTAAAGTATCTCTTTTCCAACTGGTTTAAAATATGGCTCATTAATTTGCATCCGGTGTGACAGGGGATTGCAGCATGAAAAAAGTGCCATGATTTGATACTCTGTGAAATAACCAGTAAGTCTGAAAAAGCACAAGATCATAGATACGCAAATAACATTGAGTACAGCTTCCATAGTTTATTCAAGACTTGTACAGGTACCAAAACATAATGAAATAGAGTATTTTTATTACAACTTATGAAACAATTAAATAGTACAATTTATGCTTTAAGTTTGTTCTCTTTTTTTTCCTTTTACATCACAATCTATATTTCTATGCAACATTTATTTGCATTGCCATCACTTGTTTGGGAAGCCAGTGATAAAATTAAAAAGAAGGGAGAGCTATGCATTAATAAATTAATATTTTTACATCAAATAATAAAATATGACAATTGTAGAACACCTTGTTGGAGAGAAAGATCTCTCATTTTAAAATGTTCAAGGACAGTCTACTTCAAACTCAAGACTGTTGGAATAATCATTTCCTAATGCATCACATTTCATGCTGTTCCTTGCAAAAAAGAAACTGCTAATTTTGACTGACCACTTTCTGACATTAATGTTGATGTGTCTAATTTTAGATCAGAAATGATAGTTCAGAGAGCCATATACTCATCCAAGGATGATGTGGGATTGGCTGGAAAGAGGACAAAAATGTCCAGTATAGCCATGCCCCAGAAAATTACATCAAAATATAAGCTTCTTTAGCCATATTGGTTTTAGCAAAGAGATCGCCTTGTATTCTAGTTCACCGTCTGAGCATTCAAAATCTATTCTTTCTATATTGGATACATGTTGTTTTTCTACTTATTCCATGAATGGTGAATCCACTAATATCAGTTGTCATGCAAAAATGGGCTGTATGTATGTGCCAACTGTCTAGATCAAATATTTTCCAGCAGAGAAACGCAAGTGTACAGGACCATCAGTTTGACTAATTCAGAACTATATATAATATGTTTCTTTTTCTGATAAAGAAAACACAGAGAACTTAAAAAAAAAACTAGTCAGCTATCCTTGGCTCAATTGTCATGTTCATCAACATCTTTTAAGAACAGGTTTTTGACTCACCATGGCACACTTAATAGCTGTATTTGCACAACACTTAACCAGATGACTGTATGGTATGGTTAGTTTATGGTTTAATGTGTTCCATAAAGAGGTTGGGTTTGTATTATATGGCAAATAATAAAAAGAACACAAGAGAAGGGTAAAATTAACCAGATGTAGCATGCTATCTGAATGGAGTTGGTAGATCTTTAAATAACCTGTTCAAAATATTATACAAAACTAGCCAGTGCATTTAATCCATGAGCCTATAAATCCGTGCTTGTATTTAGCATGAGTGATCATACCTGGAAATGCAGGTTCATTTCCTGGCCCAGTTTATATAAATGATTCCATAAGGAAAGAGATGTCTTTCAAGTGGTTTGCAGATGGAATGGAGAAAAGATATATAGCTATTTGTTTGCATAAACTTTCAAGTCATATTCATAGCATTTTGCATTTATGTTTGAATTCAGCAAGATCAATCTCTGCCACTGCCTGAAACGGATTAATGAATTTCATGCAATTCCTACTATTTGGGCAATAGTTGCAATTTCCTTCTCATTTCGTTTAATGTTTGAATAGAAAAAAGGTCTAGTTTTCACAAGTAACACTCAAATTCTCAAACAGTCAGCGAAACAATTTCAATGTTTAATGTAAACAAGAAGGTGGTGGAATTTTTGAATGATAACGAGGCATAGCCCCATATGTGAGAGGTTCACGTTGAATGAAATTCTACTTTGCTCAGAGAACACAGAAATGCTATTTTAAAAAAACTCAATGGGATTTTCTTGGAGGATTATCCCAAGGCATGCCAGCTCATTCAAGTGGCTAGTAAACTATGACTGATTTATTGCTAATCATGGGGAAAGGAACACAATAAAGCAAGGAATTCCATTTTGATATAGCCCTTAGTTTCCCAGCAGCACTTTTAGAAAACAGAAAAGCACCTTTAGTCTTGATAGTGCAGCACTGTCTTTGTCTAGATATCACACCTTTGTTGTGTATAGCAATTCACAGTCTCAGCAGCCACCATTGTAATGAACCTAAAAGACATTCTCCTTCTTTCGAACGGCTCGGCTGACAAACACCGTATTAGCTAACATGTCTTCATAGTATGCTCTATTTCCCTATTTTAGGTTCTCTGTATTGACTCTGTAGTGAAAAAAATTGGACCACTATGCCAATCCAGTGTAGTTGGGATCACTTTTGGCCACGAAGAGTGAAGATTACTCAATCTCATTCCATTCTACGTTCAAAATCCAGTCCTGGAAGATTCAACATAAGGTTTACCACTGCAATTTCTGCTCCATGTTAGAATGTCACCATTTTCCTTGGCCATTTAGGTTAATATTTGGTTCACAAGGAACTTTGACAAAGGGGAATCAACCTGTTGGAGCGGCAGCCTGAAATGATCAGATCAATTCTTCCATGTGCATGATTTACAGCACTGCTTGCCATAAAATTTATGATTGCAGACACCATGTTGAGGAACCAGGTGGCACCAAGCAAAGAAGTCCACACAAGAAGGATCGTCTGTTTTGATGAAATTATAGACAGTATGTTTAGTTTACAATTCAAATTAAACACAATTAACATTTTATTCTGTGTATCGTATAGCCTTTCACGTCCTATCAGATTAAACATTTGATGAGAACTGTTTAAGAATGTTTCAGGGACTTAGGTATTGAATATGCAACCAGGCTGCTTTCTGTGGACTTATTTGCTAGAAAGAAGCTATCAGCTAACAGTCTGTGAAATGTGGCCTGGCTCCAAACATGTGGTGGTGTGCTTTCCTAGGGCCACATGATGTCAATTTCTGCTTTCCAGTAACCAGTTGCAGCTTTCCAGAGTTGCAGATTTAAAAATAAATCAGCCTTATCAAGGCTGTCATTGACCCTGGGAACCTTTGTGGACAAAGTAGAGGTAATATAGCTATATAACTTTCTATCTTTTGTCTCCAGGGGGAAAAGCCTGAATTCATCGCAACTCATCTTCCACATCGGAGCACTCTGTGACACTAGACCAGCGGTTCTCAACCTATGGGTCGCGACCCCATTTGGGGTCACTCGACCATTTCACGGGAGTCGCCAAGCAAGGCTGTCCACCATTTTTTTCCCCTTTTCCGGCGTGTGCCTTACCTCCCTTGGGTTGGGCCAGCTGGTGGCCCAGCCGGTGGTCAGCCTGCTGTGTCTCTGCCGCTTGCCAGCTATGCCTCGGCCAGCGCAGGGGGTGGCACCACGCATGCGCGGCGCTCCCGGGCAGGGAAAGTCCTCGACTTACGACCGGTTTAGTCCTCGGCTTATGACCGGTTTAGTCCTCGACTTACGACCGGTTGGGGGGGGTCACGGCATTAAAAAGGTTGAGAACTAGAAAACCGAACCATTCTGCACCCAAAACTGTTTGCTATTTTTTCAATTCTGGAAGAGCAGAATGTGAAGCTTGGGGGGAGGTTATAAATAGCTCAGCCAGCTACAGCATGCATGGTTTTCCTCCAAGAAAACTAAATTGACTTATAGTTTGTAGTTTACAGGACTTAACAGGATACTCAGAATGACCAGTGGTGCAGATCAGGCTGTCTAGGGAAGCATGTTCATTCTCCTTAAAAAGCTCTTTTTTCCCTCTCTTTTTGCCCCCATCATCTTTCTCCAATGCTTCACTGAGCAATGTGGTGAGTCAATGAAAGTGTTTGGCTTCAGTGCAGTTCAAGCACAGCTGGCCGTGTTCGCTGGTGGAGACAGATTAAAACCAGTGAGGAAATAATTGATCTCTAGAGCCCACAGATCTAGCTGTGAGAAAGCAAAAAAGAGGTTTCTATCTCTAAAGGAGAAGGCTAAATGAAAAAAAATGAGCAATAGGAGCCAGCCAGAGGAGTTTCATTCTACTTTGCTTCCTCGCATTAGATAGAAATTGGGTCTGTGTGTATAGGGCAAAACTAAAAATGGGTAAAAGGAACCACATTGATGTACTGGAATAATACTTTTTCAGAGATCCAGGTTTACATGCATATTCCACAAAGGCTATGTGTTCTGGAAGGAATCAGGCAGGAGCTCTAGAAAGAAAGAAGCTCTGGAAGGAATTGGAAAGCCATGATTTTAGATAGAAAATATTTTCTTCTTGTTAGCTAAGATGTTTTGCATGCAGACAATCCAAAGTCAGGGATATTCATCTTCATTTAAAACATGTGCCACCTGCAGGCCTGCAGCTATCTCTGTCCCCTAAAGACCACCATATTGTAATTTGTACAGGACAGAATGGAAAACATGACTGGAAAGCATTCATATGAACTACAATTAATTATAATAGAAATAAAGCCCAATTTAGTCTGTCTCAGTCTATCTGAGATGGTATAGGTTCTCCGGCTTGAGCAGGGGCTGGACTAGAAGACCTCCAAGGTCCCTTCCAGCCTCTATTCTATTCTATTCTATTCTATTCTAGTTTTTGACCTGGTCTCAGCCATCTCTTTTGGACAGCAATTGGCTGGGTTTGCACAATACACTTAGTTCATCTATTATGTTAAATTGTTTTGTTGTTGTTGTTGTTGTCCCACATATTACTGCATTGTAACAAACCAAATAGGTTAGATTCACATAATATGTTCAATCCAAAAAACTTAACCAAGGTTAACATTAAGTAAGCTTAACGAGAACACAGTGTTAGATCTGTAATTGATCCAGTCAGTGTTTTCTAAGATCATTTTTACCTTTCTTCTCTGGAGCAAGGCAGAAATTAGTATTGCAGGCTTGTGACATTGCCGGTTTCTGATAAAACAGACACCCGGTTGCTGGCTGGCCTTGAAAGAGACACTGCACACTCCGTGTTTGTACTCCCCCACCACATGTCACTGTGCACTATATGTGGAATACAGGAATAAGAAGTTATAGTCAAAGGTCCATTAAGTAATAATAATAATAGTAGTAGTAGCAGTAGTAGCAGTAGTAGTAGTAGTAGTAGGGTTGGAAGGGACCTTTGAAGTCTTCTGTTCCAACCAACTGTTCAAGCAGGAGACCCTATATCATTCCAGACAAATGGCTGTCCAATCTCTTCTTGAAAACTTCCAGATATGGAGGACCACAACTTCTGGAGCTAAGTGATTCCAATGATTAATTGTTCTCATTGATTGCTCCATAGTTCTAGCTTAGATTTCTCTTTAATGAACTTCCACCCTATTACTTTTTGCCTGCACCTCAAGTGCTTTGTAGAATAGGTTGACCTAATCTTCTGTGTGGCAGCTGCTTAAGCACCAGAGTTTTGTTCAATCTGATTCCATATTATCTTCTCTCTTGACCTCAGAACTCTAAATATACAGAAATACAGTAAGTGGCCTTTTAACATTTTTCACTTCTTTCATCTAGAGTCACTTGATAGCAGAGAATAGCCGTTTGTGGGCAAATTGTCTGCCGTCCCAAAACTTCTCATCTGCTTTTGCTCACTGCCAAATCTGAAAACCCATCAACTAGGCTGAACTTGTACAGAAGTGCTGAGAGATAAGCACACTTTAAATTATTTCTTCTTTGCTTCTTTGTTGGAATTTATATTGCCATGGGCAGTTAGGAAATTTGAGGAACCTGTCTGCTATTCTATGCAGGAACAAATAATGAGTTATTACAAGTCTACCCTGAAGCACTGGTGATGTATGTGAATTTGTCTACTAACGCCGTGTCCACAAGACAAAAACAATCATCTCCATCAGGTTATTAAACCTGAGCATCCTCTATGAGCTGTCAAATGAATCTGAGAGACAGGTGACCCATGCAATATAGTAAGTTCCAAAACACAGAAATGTGTTTGCAAGGCAACACTCTAATCCAGACATCACAGTAGTAAGAGAAATCCAGACAGCCTTTGTTGGTCCTTGGATATATGCATTATGCCCCAAAACCTTGAATGGTTCAACTACAGTGCAAGTCTTTGAAGAATGAGTTGGAAAAAAGGACAAAATGCACAGGATTACAACTGCAGGGATTTGATGAACTAAGAGACAATCTTCAGCTGCAACAACTGACTTAGCTCCACTAGTATAATTACAGGTAATCCATAAATTACAACTGATTTTATTACCTCTTTCTTCTATGAGGTGTTTTTGCCCAAAAAAAAAAAGAAGTAAATGTCGGTTTTCCACAAAAATGTAAAGACATGGTCATGTTACTGTGGGATGCGGTAAACAGCTGTAAATGTGAACCAATTGCCTAAAATATGGTCTTATATGTTTATTGTTTTTAATGTATTACTCCCTTTCTGGATAGGGAAGTACCTCTGGGTCCTTTTTCCAAATATCTACACGCAACCCAGAATTCACAATGAAGAAGCTGGCATAATTCTAGGCACCTACCTGTTGGCCCTTGCACAATGATGACCCATTTAGCTCTTTATTCCCCAATAAGTTCAAGGTGCTATGAAACAAGGACTTGCATATTCAGAGCCACTTAGTCTGCCCCTGAACTTCCTTACCTGCTGCCAAGGTGAAGAATACCACCCTGATATCCTATTGTACAGAGGATGCATCGGACATGGTCCTTGCTGGCACACTTCTTCCAAATCAATGCTTGGCTTCTTAAGATTTCGACAGCGGCGCAATGGGAAAGTGATCAATTTGCCACCAATGCTTTTCTCAATGCACTGCATTTCTCGCCTCCTGATACCTGGCCCACAAGTAGCAGAACACTGGGGACAATAAGAGGTTTATTTAAAGCTGGTTTGCAAAATATATAGCCCACTACCAGACACACTGCAGGCTCCAGATCTTCCCAAAATTGGACTTTTTGTGCTTTTGGAGATAAATGGGAATATGAATACTTTGAGCCTATCAGAAGCTTGGACGACCTATTTTATCCCTATTAAAAAGGCTCACTTTGGGTTCTGGCCTCATCAGTTTTTGGAAGGTGGCTCTTGACAGGTTAAATAAAACCCACAATGGCTCTTCAACTGCCCAATGGGGCATGTGTCTGATTCCAAAGGTATGTCCATCTCTGGTGATTAAGACCACTGGATATTTTCAAATACCTCACATCAGGTCATACTATTTATCCAATCGTATCCATTTTATCTACATAAACTTCATTCACACGGCAAGCTCCAATTTGTTAAATAAATCACTATCACACCTCTAACAGTTTTGCAGATACAATAATCATGGCTTCTTTGACCAATACTTGGCTTTTCCCCTCTCTTTTTCTAAAAACAATTCTATGTTTGGATACTTCTGTAGATTAGCCTTAAAAGTTTGGACAAGATGCTCATGTGTGCCTTCTGGTCAGTCTTATCCAGACAAGTCCCTGCCGGGCATTTTGGTGACATTTTCAGAAGTGGTTTGTCATTGCCTTCTTTCCAGGATTGAGACAGTATTATTGATCCAAAGCTATCCAGGTGACCAGACACTATCCCATGGCAGGATTAGAACTCATTAGCCCAGTGCTTTTAATCACTATTTCAAATGGCTCTCTAAAACAGGGGTCTTCAGACTTGGCCCTTTTAGGACTTGTGGACTTCAATTCCCAGAATTTCTCAGCCAGTATGCCTGGCTGAGGAATTCTGGGAGTTGAAGTCCACAAGTCCTAAAAGGGCCAAGTTTGAAGACCCCTGCTCTAAAACATCCTACTTGATGTCTTTACTGATAATAGCAAGTTGCATTTTGCATCTTTTGCATCTTTCAGTTTAATATTGAAAGAATAATGAGAAATAGGAAAATCGACCCCAAGGGTCTTCTTGATAACTCTTAATTTTAAGTTAGGGCAGCAAAGTTCCAAGATTCTTAAATCCATAAAAGGGTGGATGGGACATTTTTAACAACAGATTGTCTATTATTGTATATTTTTCATGTTGTGTTTTGTAGGCAGGCCTCATTCCGTGACTCAAAGAAGCATCGTTGCTTTACCTCACTCCAAGCAGAGATCACCCATTGAAGACGCTCGTTTTTAGGGCACCGTCCCAACACGCAAGTCTGTTGCATTTCTGGCTTTGTTTCGCTGTTGCACAAGCTCTCTGGCACAATTGTTAGGATGGAGGCTCGTACACTTTTGCAGAAAACTTCACGTTTCATTATGCCTCGTCCGCAGGTTTTGGAACACTTTATGGGATTGGGGAAAAGTCTGATGTTAGTGATCTTAAAACTGAGCCCATTCTACGTCATAGGACAATAAACCAAATAAATTCCATCCCATTCTGGGTTATAGACTGCATACATATATCCCATCTTCCCTCCCTCCAGGAGAAAATCCAACATATAAGGTTCCCAGAAAGATTTCAAGTGCAGCTATCTATCTATCTATCTATCTATCCATCTATCCATCCATCTACCTACCTACCTATCTATCTATCCATTTATCTACCTACCTACTATCTATCTACCTACCTACCTACCTACCTACCTACCTACCTACCTACCTACCTACCTATCCATCTATCTATCCATCTATCTATCCATCTATCTACCTATCTACCTATCTACCTACCTATCTATCTATCTATCTATCTATCTATCTATCTATCTATCTATCTATCTATCTATCTATTTTATTTCCATCCTGCTTTTCAGTTTCTTTAACAGCTGTAGTAGTTTACAATGACCTAAACCAGGCTCCCTTAACTTAATCATGGGCCTTACAGGCTATGTTTAAATTATATATTTAGTTATCTATGGGGCCAGATCAAATTATATATTCCTAGTCATCATTTCTTTTTGCTAGTCACTTCTAACCTATTTTTTTAACTCCAGCTAATGATAGATGAAACAATATGTTTCAGAAAAGTAAGATAATACTCTGTCTTAAAGAATGCTCATTAAGAGAAAGAATTTGACAGGGGGTACTTTCATAGCTGGAGCGTCCCCCCACCCCTCCTTTCCTTCAGAAAGATTTTTGCAACAGCATATTCGCTTAAATGAAATCTGTGATACGTCTGTCTTGGCAAGTGTACAAAACAGCAAGACTTTGTTTCACTCCAGTGAAAAAGCTGCTAGACATTTCATATCTTTCAGAAAAGGGGTGTGTGTATATATATTGGAATTTGCCTGAGGCCCTATGCTACCAACTATGCTTTTAAGAGCAGGTTTTTACTATATTATGATATTAGGTTGCTTGAAATGAGACATTATCTAAAGGGGGGGAAAACATCGTTCATTTTGCTGGGTGCTGCTGATCATCACTGAACATTTAATGCCTAGTTGGAAAAATGAATTTACATGTACTTAGTGAAGTAATTAATAATAGCTGTCTCTACCTTATCCGGGTTTTTTTGTATTCCTTCTTAGTACTCTGCTGCGGAATGTTTAATTTTTCCTAGCTCCAGCTGGTGTGTCATTTGTCGCCCTACTTGGGGGTCTAGTGCAGGGGTCTGCAACCTTGACAATTTTAAGACTTGCTGGCTGAGGAATTCTGGGAGCCGAAGTCCACAAGTCTTAAAGTTGTCAAGGTTGCAGACTCCTGTTCTAGGACAACTCAGCATGGCCAACTTGCCATGGACAAAATGAAATGTGAATGACAAAAATTAAAATAATTATTTAATTGTTTTAAATTCTCTGTGATAGTCTCTAAAATATCACAAGATTATTATCATGTCAACCCTATTTCTTCTCTTCATTACACTAGACCAGGGGTAGTCAACCTTGACTCTTTTATGACTCGTGGACTTCAATTCCCAGAATTCTTGGCTCAGGAATTCTGGGAGTTGAAGTCCACGAGTCATAAAAGAGCCAAGGTTGACTACCCTGCACTAGACAAACCTACTGTAGTTCCTGCAACCATTCATGGTAAGGTTTACTAATCTGGCTGCTCTCCAAGTACCTGAACTTCCACTTCCCAAATTCCAAACTCCAGTTAACCATTGGAGATGAACTTCCCACATTTCTGTCCATGTTGTCAAAGACCTCCTGTCTTCCAGTTTATTCCAACTGCTCAACTCCAGTGGACAGGTACTATATAGCTATTCTGTAGCTATACACACACACAGGCACATTTCTCTAATAAAAAAATATATTAAGATCTAAGGAATTTCGGAAATGTGAATATATGTAGATGTAAATAGCCTGATAGTATGTTTATAATTTAAATAAACGTTTCTGTCCAAACCAAGCAAAAGTAATGGAAGACACATACAGGATGATGTTCATAATCAAAAACAGACAGTCCATTCTTCCTAGGTTAGATGAACCACTGACTGGCTCCCCACAATTTTTCTTCAGGCTCCCATCTCAACAGAACAGGGGTCCCCAAGCCCCAGTTTATGGACTGGTACCGGGCCGTGGCATGCCAGCAACTGGGCCACACAAACAAGCAAAGTCCTATCCATGGGATGCAGGCAGCACACAAATCACGCACTCTCCATCCCGTGGAAAACCCTTTCTCCACGGAACCGGTCCCTGGTTTCCAAAAGATTGGGGACCTCTGCAACAGAAGATTATGGCAAGTTTAAAAAAAAAATTACCTGTGACCAAGGCTCAGGATTCCATTCTGGTGGACAGTCCTGGTTATTACATGCCTGTATTTGTGCTGGAGTGGTTACTGGGCACAGGGCATGTGCCACAACCTCTTCCTTATGAAAAGCCTTTTTCTGGACACACTGGATATGACGGCTTTGCTGTCCCCCACCACAGGACTGGCTGCAAATGCTCCATTCACTTACTGACCAACTGAAAAATATATAGACATATATGATATATGACAGTGATGACGAACCTTTTAGAGACTGAGTGCCCAAACTGCAACCCAAAATCCACTTATGCATCGTTGAGTGCTGGCTGGGCGTGGCCAATTGGGTGGGCATGGCTGCAGTGGTAACGGCAGACTGGGTGGGACTAAAAAGTTCAATCAATCAATTCCAACTTTGCAAGAACTTTTTTTTCCCGCGAGAAGTTGAAATTGACTGATTGAACCTTTTTTTTTTTTTGCACATGGCAGCGGAGGCCTAAAGTGAAAAGGTTTTATAAAACCCAGTTGAAGGCCTAGGACTGGGGCTACCACGCGCGTGCCCACAGAGAGGGCTCTGAGTGCCCCCTCTGGCACCCGTGCCATAGGTTCGCCACCACTTATATATGACATATGACACCCTTTTTAAAAAGAGACTGGACAATCACCTGTCTGAGATGGTATAAGTCCTCCTGCTTGAGCAGGGGGCTGGACTAGAAGATCTTCAAGGTCCCTTCCATTTCTATTCTATTCTATTCTATTCTATTCTATTCTAGTCTAGTCTATTCTATTCTACTCTATTCTAACTTATGAAATGCAAATGGCAGAGATGCAGTAGATATAGTTCATGGATTTCAAAGGTTGTAAAATGATTTAGTTTTAACTCAAGCTTTTCCTTGACCTGCTCCCCTTTCTGTGGCCAACAGCACTGGACAGCCAGCCTTGTCACCAAAAGAATTACAGTTGGAAAACAGTATCTTCTAATGGACCATTTTAAGATTCACACACCAGCTGCAAAGTGCAGCAGCTTGTACTTGCACCACATCCAAGGCATGCCACAATAGCTACTTGTGTGGTTCTTTCGCCAATTAAAATAAATGCTATGTTTTAGAAGCTTCCAGCCACAATTAAAAAGCAAACACAAACATTTACAGGGAAGGCTGAAGAAAACTTAATGGAAGGTTTTTCTCTCTGAGAGAAAGCAGAGCCCAGGGTACAGAAATAAGCCTTTGGCAGAAGATTAGTCACACCCAAACAGAATCCTTGGCTAGGGAGATTATCTCAAATTAGTTGTCAGACAATGGCACGGCTCAAAGCAAGGCAATACAATTGCTAAAACTATCACATGATACATTACCCTAATTAAACCTTATCTCTGCCTTTTTGTGATTCTCTTACAGTTTCCTCTGGATCTCCTGCAGAGTGTATGTGTGTGTGTACGTATGTGTATGTGTCAGCTCCAGACTCCTTATTAGAGAGGAACAGAAAATAAGAATGGAGAATAACAGAGTTGAAAGGAACCATGGAAGTGTTCTAGTCCAACCTCCTACTCTATACCATTCCAGACCAATGGCTGTCCAGTCTCTCCTTGAATACCTCCAGAGATGGAGCACCTACAACTTCTGAAGGCAAGCAACTCCACTGGCTAATTCTTCTCACTGTCCAAAAAATTCTCTTTAGTTCTAGATGGGATCTCTCCTTGATAAGTTTCCATCTGTTACATGTTGTTCTGCCCTCAGAATATAGGTCAACCCTCTCTTCTCTGTGACACTATCTCAGATATTGGAAGACTACTATCATGTCTCCCACAGTCATTCTCTTCATTAGACTAGACAAACCCAGTTCCTGCAATGTGAAGGCTGTATGTATATAATTATGTTTTTACTTGTAGTTTTTACTTGTGTGTCGTGTGCATTGTGGACAGCACTTAATTTTGTTGTGAGATACACAATGACAATAAAGATATTCTAGTCTATTCATTGTAGGTTTTAGCCTTCAGAACCCTTATCATCTTTGTTGTTCTTCTCTTCACTCTTTCTAGAGTCTCAACATCTTACTTGTGTTGTGTTATTGTATTGTATTGTACTGTACTGTATTGTATTGTATTATTGTATTGTATTGTATTGTACCTTCAGTTTCTTCAATGCAGAGACACTGAGAATCTAGGAAGGTAAGATTGCTCAGGCTACACCTGCTGAGATTCAGCATTTATAATCTGAGTCAGAATTCAAGCTTTTTGCTCCCCTGCTTATCTGTGCAAGTAGCACAGTTAAATCTTCAGAATTCCTTCATAGTCAACCTTAATCCATAGTCACCATTTGGGAGATATCAGCTAAAGCAAAAGTCTATACTTACTAGGCTGGGCAAGGATTTGCATTGCACATCATTGTTTCTGTTAAGAGTTTTGACCTTGGGCCACAGAATGAAGAATTTACACGAGTTTGATGATCCTGTAAACACACAGCTTTGGCTATCAAATGCCCTGCAAGGAATTTTGTAAAAAAAAAAAAAAGACAATTAAAAAAATACAGAAGATACTCAATAATTCTCACAAAAGACATGTAATGTTCCGATGCCATTGGTCTAGTTCCTCACCTTCATAGTTCTTCCATTTCCCCCCTCTCTCATTATTTAGATGGGTTGGATAACATTGTCCTCATGGATCCCATTCTTAAGCTTGCAACGTTCTTGTCCCTTCTCAACTCTTTATTTTTGTTCTTCTAATATCAAAAGGTACCACGGTGCAAGCCAGACCGGCACTTCCAACAATGCTTCTAAGAGGCCTCAGAAGCATTCTTAAAAAATATAAATGGTGGGTTTCTGATTACCTGTTCGGGAAAGTTATAAAGATATGCTAGAGTGGCCACAAATATTCTACAGGGCTAGAGAGAACCCTGAGGAACAATCTTATTAACTTGTCTTCTCGTAAATGGATATGTTGTAATTGGTCATATCTATCATGGATCAATTTTATGAAGAGGTAAGCTCCCACATGATAACCATTTTGTGAGAAACACAACTTGACCTCATAATTGTATCCAATATCTAGTCGTAAAAGTGTCTCTCCCCATCAAGTAGGAGGAAGTGTTGATGCATGCCTGCCTTTTCATTAAAATAATATTTTAATAAAAGAAAGAAAGCAACAGAAAAGGTACATGGCGAACAAAGAGTGACAGAGCCAAAAATACAAAATACCTATCTCCAAGATAAAGACAATACTAGCCATCCCAGAAAGTTTCTTTAATGTGGTCTTTGGCTGTAAACCCAATGCCAACAGTTATGGGCTTTCTCACAGGGAACTCTTTTTAATATTACTAACAATAGACATTCTTGAAACGCCTGATTTTATGAGCTAACAGGAGGGGAGTTAACTGACTGAGGAAATCAGATTTGTCAGAAGGAATTCAAAAACAGAAGACAAAGAGGCAGGAAGGAAAAAGAAGAAGCAGTCTGCAAATTCCAGAACTAGAAATATTATTATTCCTCTGCTTTGATTTGTAATATATACAGTGTGTGTGTGTGTGTGTGTGTGTGTGTGTGTGTGTTTTCTGAGGTTTTCGCGGGTGTTTGTATGTAGGTCTTTGGTTATTCGGGTTTTCTCCTGCGTAAAATTGGAAGTGTCTTGGCGACGTTTCGACGAAGTCCCATTCATCATCTTCAGGCTGGTATTTTCGGCTTCGTGCTTCGAGGAGCATGAAGCTGAAAACACCAGCCTGAAGATGACGAATGGGACTTCATCGAAACGTCGCCAAGACACTTCCATTTTATGTGGGAGAAAACCCAAATAACCAAAGATAGATAGATAGATATATATATATAGATATATATATATATATAGATATATATATATATATACATACACACACACACACACATACATATATATATATAACTAGATAAAACCAGCAAAAGCTAAATCAAACAGAATGATCTGGAAAAAAGTACATAGAACTTGTAAGTTGCCCAGGATTACCTTGAGCAGCCTATAAATTTTATATAAAAATAAATAAAAACGTACATGAAAATTACAAGAAAACGTACATTCACAAAAGACGTGTTGCAGCACAGTTTGTAAATCACAAAGGGAACCTTGATCACAACAAAAGATATTACCTAATATTTCCTTTATGCTGATAAAGAGACTATTCAAAGACTGAGAGGTGATACGAACTAATCAGATTTGGTATATATTATATAGAAAATAAAACAGGAACGTTTGAAGTTTTTTGGGAGAACTCTTTTTGGAAGGGCAAATCCAAAATTCTCATGTAGAAAAATTCAAAAACGTTGGCATATTATTTAGCAACTCTTTGGCACTTTTAAATCTCACTTCTTCCCAAGGCCGCTGTTTCCCATAATCAGAATCCGAGGGGGTTGACCAAAGCATATGTAGTGATATACCTTCAGAATTTATTATTATTTAAAATTTGTTAAATTTATTTCCCACTTCTCTCATTGTGGGGCTATTCTAAGTGGCTTACAACAGTAGAAATGGAGAGATGAAAAGAAATGTAAACATAACAGTAGCAAAATAATGAAACAATGAAATAAACAAACCATGAAAATAAAGAAAGATGAGAGTAAAGAAACAGGAAATGCTGAGGGGGAATGTGAGTTTTGCTAACAATCTAGTAGACCCCTCCCATGTGGTGGCTGCATCTCAAACAAAGACTGACAACAACAACCAGCCTTTTAAAAACATCCAATGAGAATTCCAGTAGACTCCAATAAATATGTAAGTAAATCTTGTTTTAAGACAGTAATACAAACATTTAATGCTGGTTTTATAATAGTAATAAATGCATTTAGAGGTACTTAAACCTGAAGGTTTTTCTACTCCTAATTTCTTGGGATAGTCTTCATATGTATTTCAGCGTAGCTGTTTAAATTGTCAATAAAATGTAAGCTTGGTCTCTAAAAATACTTTCTCTAACACATTCAAACCTGTAGGGGTTTTTGAAGCAGCCAACACATCTGCTCCTAACAATAAGAGTAACCAATGCTTCATATACTTCCGTTCATCTATTTTTGGCAAATCATATTTTCTGGAAAAACATGTAAGAGATCTTCTGCCTCAGTCTTTGAAAATTGCTCAATCTTGGTGAAAGACTTGTTAGAATTTTGTCTCTCGATATAAAGAGCTGAACTACATACAGGAAAGATTGTGTGGCTGAAATACAAGTGGCCCTTAATGTCCCCTCATTCAGTGACTGTTATAATGGTGCTGAACAAGTCCTCATTTTGCAGACATTGCAGTGTCCCCCATGGTTGTGTGATCACAGTCTGACTGCTCAGTGTCCAGGTTACAAATGCAATAGTTGCACCATCTCAACAATCATAGAATTACGATTTGCAAACTTCACTGCTGGCTTCCAATAAGCCAAATCAAAGAGGAAACCTGCAGGAGGTAGCAAATGGTGATGCGACATTGCCCTTAACAACAGAGGAGATTGAAATGGTTTTCCACGGGAAGAAAAATTATCAAAGTAATCAGTCATTAGAAAACATGGAATTTAACTGGAAAGAAATGAATTGAGTGCCAATAATTCAGTTAAGTTCAAGTTAATACACAGTGGATTTCACTGTTAGATTCTGTAACTTAGACAGCCCTAAATAAATAGAAAAAGGAAGACATATTTGGGGTAAATTTGACATACTCACCCCCACCACAGGTTGCTGAGCAATCTGACTGCACCATCACCCATGAGTAGCTATGCCTTTTTGTGAATATCTTGTTCTCATTATTCACCTTAGATAAGGTATATCGCCAGGAAATGCCAGGATTTTTCCCTTGTAACAGCACCTAATTATCATAAGAGGAAGAAAATGATGGCGCACCCATAACTTCTGAAGGCAAGTCATTCTACTGATTAGTTGTTCTCACTGATAGGAAATTACTTCTTAATTCTAGTTGAATCTCTCTTTAATGAGCTTCCACCCATTGCTTCCCATCTCCTGTGGTTGGGTTCCTATTGAACTTTCATCCTAGGAATTTGGTACAAACAAAAAAGGGAACACCAGCCTTTTGCCTGCCTTTGCTCACTTACTCTCTGCTCATAAATGCAATACAAACTGCTGATTTTGTGGAATACACACATCTGTCTTTTTTCATAATGGCCATGTCATTAGACAGAGGTGTCAATAATGAACATATTGGACAACTAATAGGGGGCAGGGGTCTATCCATTTTCAGTTGTGGCTCTGGCATCAGTAAAACTGCCCTTATTGTCTTCTGATTAAATTACTGCAATAAACTCTATAGGCAGCTGCAGCAGACTATTTTCCTGTCAATGAAAATTGTGGTCTCAACCTTGACGTGTTACTATAATTTCATTAAGTATATGGACACATCCCTGCTTTAGAGTGAGATCTCTTTTTATTCACTCTTATCCATCTTGGATGATATAGAAGAACTGAAGAAAACAAGATTTTGGTGATAATAAAAGCTGTAATATCAATGTATTTAATAGTAAACCTCCCCATTTGATTAATCTGTGCAAGGTGAATTCCAATTATGTCTTTGTTTTAAAGATGGTTTCAATGGACAGAAATATGGTAAACTGCCAATATCAACTGAACTAAATCTATGGAGGGATGTAGAATGTAAAAGAGAACTAATAAGGAAAAGTTTCATGGGATAAAAATAAAAATCAAGATTAATTAACATTTTTAAAGTCAAGACATTCAGACTCGAAAAATCTGCATGTCAGTGGAGATAGAGATCACATGGAGACAAAATGATGTAAAACAATGTCAAATGTTACTCCAAAAATGAGGGGTGTCCAAGTCCAGAGACACTGAATCTATAACATCTGAGTGGTTTGCTATTGACTACTTGTACAGCAAATTGTGTGGTTTGGGATGGGAAAAGGAAAAAGAAAAATTGGAAGAATGATATGTTTTCCAGTTCTATTTCAGTCCATGAATTCTGGGAGTGCTCCAACATGGAAATTCATGACCTAGTCCAGCAGTATACTGTATATCCATTCAGAAAAACTAATAGCTTGGCTTTCTGATTTATTGCAAGTTTTAGTATTGAGAAATCAGGCAGATGTAATGTAACATATGAGGGTTTTTTTTAATTAAAAAAAAAGAGAGATGTAGTCAGCTTCCACATTCACTCTTGTAACAATACTAACTCTAAAACATTCAAAAATGGTTGATTTTTAGTTACATTTCAAGACTATGGAATATAGGTTTAGATGATACAAAGATAGATGTAGATGTAGATTAAATATAAATATGAAGAAGCAGTTTGGATATCTCCGTGGCTTTTAATATAATCCATTTTTAAAGTCAAGAGTTGGGGTTGTGACTCTTGTCATGGTCTTATTCCTATTACTCAAATAGTAGCATACCAAAGGGCAATAATCTTGGGGGACTATGTCAGTATCAAAGCTTGAGTTGGACTAGAAGACCTCCAACATCCCTTTCAATTCTGTTATTCTGTTATTTAATGTCTTGGTGTGATTGTTGAGAGGAACAGGAATTGTACAGGGCTGAGTCAAAACTTTATATGGATGACGTTCAACTAGATTTCTCTTTTTATCTTCATCCCATGCCATTTTCCTGATTGGCACTGTCTGATACTAGATTGCAATCTAAATGAAATCCAAACGATTAAAATTGAATCCAGACATCTAAGTACTTGGTGAAGGGAGTTCTGGATGAGAAGGATCTGAGAGTCTGTGCTGTTCCTGAACAGTCAGATTAGGGGTGGTGGCCAAGAACAGTTATGAACATTAGTAGATGATTTCCAACTACACCCTGTCTCTAAAGGCTAAGTCTTTTCCTTATATTGTTTACTCACTATTTAGATTTGTAGGAGACTCCTCATTGAGGTATCTTTAATTTGCAGTGGGTTCAAAATGTGGCAGGAAAAGCTCGGTTGGGAGTCTCCTGGTAGGAGTAGCTGACATTTAATTTGGCTGGTAATAACATCAGGACATCTGTTATTTTCATATGGTTCTGATGTTATTTGCTGGTCCTATTGTTTAAGGAGCTGCCCTTCATGTTCAGAGCATGGTGGATATCACTGAGCAATATTAGGTCACAGCAGTTAAAAAATAGAAAATTAACTTGAAGTTTGCCACAGAAACACTTTATCAAGCCCTTCTAAAAACCCAATTTTTTTTTTAGTCTTCCAGCTTCAGCAAGAAGACAGAAAAGCCCAGTTGTAGTTAGGCAAGGTTTGCATGGCTATGAAACAAATAACAGAATAACAGCCTTGGAAGGGACCTCGGAGGTCATCTAGTCCAACCCCCTGCTCAGGCAGGAAACCCTATACCATTTCAGACAAGTGGTTGTCCAATCTCTTCTTTAAAACACCCAGTGTTGGAGCATTCATAGCTTCTGTTCCACTGGTTAATTGTCCTCAATTCTTAGGAAATTTCTCCTTAGTTCTAGGTTTCTTCTTGTTGGTTTCCATCCATTGCTTTTTGTCCTGGTTTTATCCTGAATGGCCATGAAACTACAAAGCACATCATATTCATGTTCCTTTATTAAGACAGAACTACCGTCAAGCTGCCTTCTATACAGAAACGAATTACTACAGAAGACATCAAACTAATGCTTGGCATACATCTTGCATGTTGCCATTGACTGTGACACAAGCACATTTGCTTTTGAAATATTTATTGAAGGAGAAGAGAATTTCAGTTGAAATTTTCAGGGCTGGAACATAGTGTTCTTGTACTTATTTACTGACCAAGTGCCCAAAGGCGAGAAAGGAAAAAATCCTGTCTTTCATTATACAAGCATCTCTCCATTAAATCCCAAGGGAAGTCATCTATGAAATCTATTCCCAAAGGCCTTTTTTTTTCAGATTCTGAATTGTGGGTGATCTGAAATATTTCAGAGGGAAGATGCATCCCAGAAAAACCAAAATTCCAACACAGCAAAGCAGCTTACCAAAAAAAAAAAAAAAATGATCAAGAGAAATGCAAAAGAATTGTTCCAAATTAGAAGGAGCTTTAGAAACGGAAGCCTCTTTCTCAGGAGAAAAAGAAAACACTTCTGTTGATTTCAAGGTGGATTTCATCACAGCATTAGATAAAATAACTCTTGACTACAATAGTGTGAAGTGTTCAAGTTCCAAAACAATCCCCTTTTTGGTAATACAATACGAGAGGTTAGCAAACACTGCCGTGTGACGAAAAATGACAATTTTGAAAAGGCTTCCAAGCCCTTCCATCTACTTACCTGGAGAGATTCCAGATAGAAACATCCCAGCCAACTGGCATTAGTTCTTTATATTTACAGCTGGCAAACAATCTCTTTAAACATTTCCAGGTTTTCTACACAACTGTTTAATGTCTACCTTTAATACACCACCACCTGACTTCAGGCACAATGCTCAACAGCTCTGACCACAGGGCTTTATACATTCAAAACCACAGACTTGACAGGTAAGAATTTGCCAAACCTGTTCATAAGAATACATCTTTTGCTCAGGGCTTCAGGAAGCTTAGACAATGGACAAACTGAAATCTCTTACCAATAGAATATTTGTAGCTCAGATTTGAACTGTGAGGTCCTTGATGTTCTCTAAGCTCTCCGAAATCTCTTAATTAAATACTTTTTTCTTTTCTTTTCCTGCCAATTTTGATTTGTTTTGAGACTTCAGGCCATAAATATCCTTGACCAAATAGGTATCTATTTCTTTTCTCTTCCTCAGGTATTTACCAATGTATAAACAGATATGTACATTGGCAAGCCATTGAGCAATTCTTTTAACACGTATGTCAACACTTTCTTTAGTATGTCAACTTCTTATAGAGATTTTAGTTAGAATTATGCAACTGGATCTGACCTGCCAGATCATATATTACATTGCATACATGTTATGAATGCGTGTTTTGAGATTTGCTGCATCAGCAAATACAGAATTAAACTACAGAGCAATTATGGGCATGAAGAATATTTTTTCACACCCCACGAACAAAGCCACTGGATGGGAGAATAGCAGAACTATAGACAGGTTGAAGCATATGGAAGGAAGGAAGGAAGGAAGGAAGGAAGGAAGGAAGGAAGGAAGGGAGGGAGGGAGGGAGGGAGGGAGGGAGGGAGGGAGGGAGGGGGGAGGGAAGGAAGGAAGGAAGGAAGGAAGGAAGGAAGGAAGGAAGGAAGGAAGGAAGGAAGCTGAGGAAGGGAAGAAACACTGAACATGTTATAGGTTTTGCCCAAACTGATTTTGGTGCAGATTTTGGACAATTGCAAGCTGACTTCAAAGTAGGAGAATCTGTTTGCAAAGTGAGCAGAGAAAGGTATAGTATGCATCCATAAGGAACTCAGGCCTACTCAAAAAGAGTGAAACATATTTTTTTCGAGTTGTATTACAGGGTTGAACTCCTAAATGTTTATTTCCCAAAAAAAAAAAAAAAAACCTGTTATTCTCTAATGCATACCTAGGTTGCTAGAGGGTAAGGAAGTCACATAAAAAAGTTTATGGGTATACAAAGTTGAAATTATACATATGCACACTTCCTTGCTGATGGCAGATGGGAGAGAGGATTTTGTATCTCATCTGGAGCATGCTATGGCATCATATAGCAGGTACTGTAGGGCCCTGAGTGGTACTTAGTGATTTGGATGGGGGTCACCTGTTTCCCATCCTGAGTGACCTAGTGCTGTTTATATTTCACAGCTGGGATGGCTGTGAACTGCTGCATTTTAAATACCTTCTAGTGACCCAGGTAATGCTGTAACAGATCAAGGTCAAAAAGTCAAAATGACAGGCCCTTCACCCCATCCCACTGTGACAGAGAAAAGAAAACATTTTGGATGGTGATGGTTTCCAGAAGTCAGACAGCACTACAGTGAAATTTGACAAGAATCTTTCTGAACCTGTATGTTAGGTAGCAAATAGGATGTCAGGATCAGCCCATGTTATCTTGCTTTTATCCACTGAATTTGAATCACAGATAATACTTGCCAGGAAAGCCAAATCGTTTCCAGAGCAGAGTGGGAGATCAGCTAATCAGAAGCAAAAAAGGAAGATTTTAAAGATTCCCTCCAATCTTTATCGAATATTTTTTTATGAAAGCAGACGCTTTAAAAGGGTTTTCATCCAGAAAACTTACTTGAAATCTCAAAGTAAGAAGGGGGTTATGCACCTTGATTTGTTGGGAAGATTTTTAAGTGCAAACTTTAAAAATAATATGAACAACTGAGAATTCACACACGCCTGTACTGAAGAAAAAGTAACTTTTTAAAAGTTTCCCTCTAGGATTTCCTTTTTCTTTCTCATAAAATGCATTTGTCACCCCGTCTTCCTTTATAAGTATGTGGTAAATATATTTGTTTAAGGCATGGAGCATATCTAACCTCTTTCACTGAATCAGAACATTTTTTATCCCTTACAATGAATTTACATCTGTATCTCATAAATAGCTTTTGCTCTCACCATTCTCTTTAGGGAATATCAAAACTAATTTGTCAACCAGTAGCTAATAATAAAAGTAGAGCTTTGAAAGCCCACATTGCATATTACTCAGTAATTGGTATACTAGCAAAAACGTCCTTCTACCAGGTTCCCTTCTTCCCTTGACAAGGGGAGAAGCAATGGGAATGATTTATTGATTTTAATTAGCCAACTTTTCCCAGTTAGAAAGTAAATTCTTTTTCTGTTGAATGATTGTCACTTTAAGTGTTCCATCCATCTCTTCCAGGTTACAGTAGAGAACATACTTATTTTATGGTGGGATTTGTAATTTCCTTCTTCAGTATTGGACAGGTTTTTTGAAGCTGTGATGCGTATATTAATTCTGTGAGATGTCATCATCTTAAAAAAAAAAAAAACCCAGCTGCTTCTGCATATGGTAGCAACATCCAGAAAGATAGAAACAGATGGTTTGAGTAAATCAGCCTTAGTCTTACCTCTGCAGTGCCTGCAGAAACTGAATATTCAGTATAAAGAAATATGATATAGGTAATACCATGTGGTTCAAAAGAGGCTCTGACATAAATTTCATTTCCATAATTCTTTCTCTGATTGTGTTCTCATCTAAAACAGGATGAGAGAGTCTGCTCAATAAGTTGAGTTAATCTCTTTTCTTCTTCCTAAGACGTTACTTTTGAACGCTGGATTGTAGTACAAACAATAATAACTTCCTATCCAGCCAGCCTCTAGCCCACAATTTTTAGAACAAGAACTAAAAATTAAAACCAAACGACCTTAAATTACCTCCACCAGAATCTCCCCCCCCCAAAAAGCACTTAGCTGGATTGCAATAATAATAAAAGTATTTCACATGTCTTCACTTAGGAAGACACAACTATATTACCAAAACCATATGCCAAAGACTGATATTGCTTATGGGGCCAGATTATAGCTGCTATAATTTAGCACATATCCATAACACTACTTCTATTTTCTCCTCCAGTCATAATCAGGGATTTTCGAGTTTTAGAAAGAAGCTATATATCAGTTTCCCATCTCTTTAGTCAACTCACATTGTCTGCATGTTTGCCTCTTTAGGAATGATGGGCAAGAAAATTGTTTCCTGGGTTTATTTATTCTATTTGGTGGTGCAAGTTAGAATGCAGAATTGCAGGCTAACTCACTGCTCACTCCAGGAGTTTGATTCTGAGGCTCAAGGTTGACTCAACCTTCCATCCTTCTGAAGCGGGCAAAATGAGGACCTAGATTGTTGGGGGCAATATGCTGACTCTGTAAACTGCTTAGAGAGGGCTGTAAAGTGCTATAAAGCAGTATATAAATCTATGTGCTGTTGCTATTTACATCCAACTTTTCCTCTGTGAGATTAAGGTGGCTTGCACGGAAGTCTTTCCTAATTTTTTCCCCCACACACAACAAGCCCGGGAGGTGAGTTATTTTTCCAGTGTTGGATGCTTCCCAGGTCTCCTATGCTTCGATTAGTCTCAAAGCAAAATATCAGAAGAGAATCCCTCCCATTGGGCTTTTTCTGGTTAGAAAACTGCAGAAGTCAGGGAGGTCTTGGGATGAAAACTACAGAAAATTATACCAGCGCTCTTCGGTGTTTCACATGATAATTGGCTTGATTGGTTTCATTACATTTTATTTGCTCAACCTACAAGCTGCTCTAATTATCCAAATGACTCTCGGTAACCTGCAATGTATGAAAATCCTCAGACAGATAGAAAGAAATGAATAGATAGCAACAACAAAAAGCAAGTCATGTTTGTTATTTCATGAGAAGGACCAAGAAACAGGGTGAGTACAGGTTCAGAAAGTTGCTTGACCCAAATTGTAAGACATACAAGGTACTATCTTTTTTTTTCCATCTGGTAACCAGAAAATGTCAACCATCTTAATTGATATATCTGAAATCCCTGCAAGATCAGAGATAAGTAAATAGAGCTTGCCCATTGTCAATTTTTTTAAAAAAGCTGCATGTTTTTCTGTTACATCCAAAAGAGGGTTAGGATTTTTTCTGCAGACAATTTACTTTGCAGGATACAATCTGGGTTGAGAGTGCAGAGTGTGTGTCTGACACTCTGCTAGGGAGAAGTTCCAGCTAGGGCTCCAGCACGTCCAAAAGCTCAGAAAACTAAAATTCTGGTCCTGACCCAGATTGAATCCTGGAACATTATCCTGGGACATGTATCTTTGCTTTCATTTATGACAATGTACTTTGGTGGACAATGACTACACCAAACTAGATTTGTCAGGCATATTTCTAAAACAAACTTCAAGAAGAAAATAAAGAGTAGTACACTTACTTCAAAGATGAGTGTCTCATTAGTTGGGCCAGATGCTAACAGCTTCTCTGGATGGCTAAAAGGCCGTTGATAATCAAACATTGTTCCAGCAAAGTAAAATTTTCCAGGCCAGTCAACTGTCCAGTCCTTGGTTAGGTAATATTTCTTATTCAAATTGCGGACTGCAAGGTAGCTGCTAGAGATTAGCAATTCTTGAATTTCAATACTGCGAGCTCCTGCGGGAATTGTAACAATGGGATAATAATCTAGAAACAGAAAAAGATCAGTTGGTTACAGCTGTGTCAGAAACTTTTCCTTTTTAATTAAAAGCAAGTTTCTATCATCATTTTACCCCTGTAATGTTAATATTTATAGTGGTTAATAATTTGAGTTGTATCCTAACTTCCTTCTTTCTCCAGCAGGGGAAAAGATTCACAAATACTATCATGGGAAACTCAAAAGACATCTTCAAATGGTCTGAGCATAAGTTAGTAACACATCAGAAAACCTATTTGAAGAGAAAGAACAGAGAAATGAATGAATAGATTTTGGCACAACTCTGATAAGAGCTGTGGTGACACAGTGGTCAGAATGCAGTATTGCAGGCTAACTCTGCTGATTGCCAGCAGTTCAATCCTCAAGACTGACTCAGCCTTCCATCCTTCTGAGGTCAGTAAAATGAGGACCCAGATTGTTGGGGGCAATATGCTGACTCTAAACCACTTAGAGAGGGCTGTAAAGCACAGTGAAGTGGTATATAAGTCTAAGTGCGATTGCTAGTTCAATAGTGGAACCCATTTCCCAAAGAAATAGTGAATTACCCTTTGCTGGATATCTTTTAGAAGAAGCATAGCCAAATTCAGAAAAATGTTAAATTGATGCCTTCAGTGTATAAGGGACTGCATGGTTAAACTTTCAATTTTATGATTCTATCATTCTAAGATCTCCAACTGTACATGCAAATGGAAGATTTTTTTTGCCAGCAAGCATCTACAATACTTATTGGAGCAACATTTACTTGATCTGCAGGATGTCTGGGATGGTAGCTACTATACCAGTCTCCCTCCAAGCTTGGGTTTTCCAATTAAATATTTGGTTGTAAGCACACAAAGACTGTCACAGTAATGCAAGGGGAAAAGTTATGAAAAAACATTGACTTAATTACAGAAGGAAATTATGTTCTTACTGTTAGTTTTATGCTGGGTTAAATAATGGCCTGAGTAGAATGTACATGAAGAATTGTCTCCTTTGCAAACTCCACAAGCATCCAAAGCAGCTTTGGATCCAAGGCGATAATCACACCCCACTTGCTGCAACAACAACAGAGACGAGAATGAGTGAAAGAGCAACAGGTAGAAGAAAACTGTTGTTTGTCATTCTGTCAATCTTACTTCACAAACCCCATCAATGCACACATCTTCTTTATACAGTGAGCAGAGGGTCCCATCCTTTACGCGGTTCGACATGGCAAAGAAAAAGTCAAAATCTTCTGCTGTACAGTAGAGTTTGCAGCGATCTTCCTCTGAAAAGATACGAAAAATGTCCGATAAAATATTCCAAACTTACTTGACTTGCTGACCAGACAGCAATGCATTGGAAGAAGCAAAAGCCCCATGCTGGATTCATACTCCTTTGAATTACTTGGTAGACTGCAATATCTTTTAATATGGGTTGAAACAGCTTTTCTGACTTTTACTTCCACCCAAACTGCAAATTTGTTTTATTAATCCCTCCCCAGATTGAAAGCGAGTATCTGGGACCATCTTTTTCAAGATAAGTGCTTAGATGAAGATCACTTGGCCGAGGCATCTGTCTCACAAAGTTGGGCGGTAAGCATGCAATTATCAAGGACAGAGCATCTTCTGTCTAGACCAGGGGTCTTCAAACTTGGCCCTTTTATGACTTGTGGACTTCAACTCCCAGAACGTGCCTGGCTGAGGAATTCTGGGAGTTGAAATCCACAAGTCATAAAAGGGCCAAGTTTGAAGACCCCTGGTCTAGATATTCGCTATACAAAATCACCAATGAGCTGATGTCAGCCTGATTTTTAACATCTTTTTGAAGTAGTGCATGTTTTCAAGGTGGTGCTTTGATTTGAAGACCCACCTAAAAAGCTGCTTCACAAAGCAATGCAAAGGAAAGGTCAAACTGCAGATCACAGCAGTTAAGTTGGTAACCTGATTGTTAAGAGAATCCTGCTCCTCCATTGATTTTGCTCATGAGAAGGTCACAAAAAGTGATCACATGCAACCATCATAAAATTTTGATTACGTTAACTGTGGAATATTACTGCAGATTTTATTGATCCATTGTTAATTAAGGTCTGTTATAATGGCTTTAAATCAACATGTACCAAAATTGATCCTCATTTGATCTGGTTCACCTTCTACTTTGGTGTAGGGTTTCCATTTGTAGTACCATCCGCGGAAAGGTTTGCTATTATACTCAGCACATTGCTGGGCTCGGAAGTCTGGGCTGTTTGATGCACAGAGCTGAGTGTTGCAAAGCTGATAAATGCGACTTGAGCCTTGGCAAAACTTTCCGCCATGCTGAGGTCTGCAAAGAAAAAGAAAATCCATTTGCAATAACAAATATAGAATAGATAATTAACTGCTGGATGCAGTTTCTATGGTTTAATATAAATATAAATTTAAAAAGTAAAAAAAAACCGATGGTGACTTGCATGAAATTGGGGGTTTGTTTCATTTGCCTACAGAATGAATTTAGTATATTTTAAGTTAGCAAAAAATAAGAACAATCTGCTATTCAATACCTGATTGCTTGCGGAATAAAATTGCTGATCAACCAGAAAAATTCTCATTTATCAGGCATATTTGCATTGGGGTAATTTATCTTATCTTCTGTGTCTACGATAGAAAGGGGCCATTGAATGCATGCAAGCATATGAATCAAATCAAAATTTGCTAAACCAGTCTCAGATCTCTCGATCTCTCTCTCCTTCCCTTCCCTTTCCTTTTAACTTAAAAGCATCGCTGGGTGGCAGGTGTTCATTTGACCGGGGTTTAAATTGAGGTCCTGGCCTGTCATGTCTCCCATCAACATGTTCCCATAGCTGCCTTGCTAGGCAGAACATACATGTATTTGACCTGTTGTGGAAAATAATGTTTTTTAAACTGGGATATAATTTAGCTCAGCAGGAGATATTGTTTTTAGCATCTCTCACAATTCCGGAGTCATCCTGTAACAATATTTGGAAAATGTCTATTCTAGAACTGCTTTAGATTCTTTTTTTTTTTAAGATATTTTTACCCCCTTAGGATATTTTCTACTTATTGTCAGGGTACTCAAAGACTGCTTCCGAATTTATCTTGGTGCTATTTTTATTAATGAGATGATGGAAGGTACTACTATAGGTATAGTCTTGCCATCATGCTGAAACTTTCTTGGGTGCTTCGATTTCCAAATCAGAAATCTCCTTTCTGATATCATCTCTTGAGATGTTGTTGAACCAAGGAGAATGAAGACTTATAGTGATATGATTAATATAATAATGCACAGGAGGATCCCCCATGCCCCTTGGCAAACTACTGGTGAAAATGTGTAAAAAACAAAACAAAACAGCAAACTCCACCCATAAGCATTTCAGTGAATTTCTTTTCCACTTTGAAAGAAATTTCAAAAGTGAATTCTCTTCCCAGCACAATAAACTTATATAACAGAGGAGAAATTTTTATTGATTGATTGATTGATTGATGAAATACACTAACCTGGAGAATCTCCAGGGTCGTACTCCTAATTTAAACCAAAAAAAAAAAAAAATCACCTGAAGATAAATTTAGCTTTTATATATACATCATCCTACTGCATATATTTTGAAAGCCCAGCAGCTCTTTTAGGGAGGGACGCTGTAAAAGCATTTTATATGAGTTTTCGTTAAGGATAAGGCATTGTAAAATCCAATGTTTACAAGCAATTGGGACCAGAATTTTGATTGTTAAGCAAGGCAATTGAGTGAGTTTATGACCTATTTTGTTACATCCAAATTTTGATCACGTGAGGATGCTATGATGATCATAAGTGTGAGGATCAGTCATAAGCCCCTTTTTAATTTCAAAAAATCATTAAACAAATGATAATAAGGCAAGGGCTACCTGTATTGGATTTCTACTTGTCCCATAAGTGGTTCTAGAGTGAACAAAACTGAGTTATGGTTAATGGCCCCATATCATTGATACTTTATTCAGTAAATAAGAATGTTCCAGATTTTACAGCTACGTCATTTTTCACCTGCACACAACTCCTCAATATACATGCCATGAAATTTCCCCCCTGGGCTAGGTTTGGTTGAGTTGATCCAGGATTTCTTTCCTTGTATAAAATTGCACGGATACATTATAAAGAAATGTTCAGATCGACACATAATATTTATCTGAGAAATGATGCCTAAATCCTTATATTGTTAGTCATCACCAGAAGCTAAGCCTATTACAAACCACTTTCCATCATCTCACAATATGCTATTCAGTTAAATCCATCATGGAAAGAACTTGCTAACATATAAAAGAGAGGAACCCAGGTGCCATTTGCACAATCCAAGACTCATCTATTTGCAAAACAAGATGGAACTTGTTGCCCTGGTTTCCAGGAGTTTAATGCTATAACACTGATTTGCTTAAGAGAAAAGAAATTTTCTTCCTTTTGCTGAACAATTTGGGAAAGTATGCTCTCCCCTAGACAAGTGATTTGAAACAATGAATTTAGTTTTTTGGGTAGAAATTGTGATCTCTTTGGGAGCAGGGTAATCTTCAACTAAATAGTCCAGTCTTAAACTTCTTGGACAAGCTAATTATAGCTAGTATTCAAAGAAGGTGACTCTACTATTCCAGAAAATATCCTTCTGTAATAAATCTACTGTATGTCCAAAAAGACACTGTATAGCTGAAAAAATATACCTGAAAGGACAACCAAATTGATCAGGAAGCTGTAGCTAGAATAAAAGCAACATTTAAGGCTGCTTAAGTTACAGTGAAGTTAAGTGAAGATATGGTAGAATTATTTTATACACGGACACAATATTAGAAATTCTCTGATTTCTAATGCACTGAATGCAGAAAATTCAGGACCGGTGAAAGGAAATACCTCTGTAAATAACATAAAATTAGTCTGTGAATTCACTGCCTTTAAATGTGGGGTCAGCTACTAGTTGGAGAAGAAGGAGAAGAGAGAATAAGAAGGAAAAGGAGAATCAGATTTAGCTACAAATATTAATTAGTTTTTGAGGGTTGTATATCACTTCCTGAATCATGGCCAGCCTAATTTAAATATCAACTGTTGGAGAATAGCAGAAGAGAAGTAAAACTGCTGTGAGCTTTGCAAGTGCACCTGGCTGACCACAGTGGAAGGAAATGATAAACATGACCTGATGCAGCCCTAGAGCCCTTTTGTGATTAATATATATTTTAAGATGCCAGAAGGCATACTAGCTTTTGCAGCTAACACAGTTATTTTTCATAATAATTTATGGAGGGAAGATTTGCTCAGTGATTATCCAGGTTACAGGATGCTACTGAACACGAAGTTCTGCAAGTAATGTAAGTGAAGGCCACAGTTTTCCTGCATTGATTACGGACTTCCCAAGAGCGTTTGTTGAACTGCTACATGAAACAGGTGGTTGAACTAAACTGAGCTCAGGCAAAATCTAAACGTACTGTAAGCAATAAATTTAAACCAAAGCCAACTGTATAAAAAGTACAAATATAAATTTATACAATAGAACATTAATGTTATTTTTAACACGCTTCCACTAATGAGTTTATTAAAAAAAACGAGTTTTCAAAAATGCTTAGAAGAACGTAGTTATTAAAAGGGATGATTTAATGTTTAATAAAGTTCTTTGTATTCAGTTTATGTGTGTGTGTGTATATAAAATGCAAATAATTTTATTAAAAATTCTGTATGTATGCATGTGTGTATATATATATATATATATATATATATATACATATATATTGTACATATATATACTGTATACTGTGTATATACATATACATACACATATACACAAACACATACATACATATACATACATACCGAATGCAAAGAATTCCATTGTCACCTACAGATTGCAAATAATGACATCAACCTGAGATCTCTTCCTAGCAAGGCCTTACTTGGGATTGTTGCAATGTCTCTCTTGATAGGTGACTCCTCCCCCACAAGTCCGAGAACAGTCTGACCACATAGACCATGCTGACCACTGGCCATTCACAGGTTTGGGACCGTGGTCTCCAAATGGTACACACTGGCCCCTTCGGCACCACTGAAGAAAAGAAGAATAGGGAAAACATGTTTTGTTAGGATGGCTGACTATGGCTAGCAAGGAATCCAAACATGAGTTAGAAGCAGACGTGCATGCATGTTTCAGGGGAAGGGAAGGTGAGGGCTGCATAGGTGGAAAAGACAAGTAAGTGGTGTCTGACGCAAATGTTGTTGTTGTTGTTAATTGCGAAGTCGTGTCCGACCCATCGCGACCCCATGGACAACGTTCCTCCAGGTCTTCCTGTCCTCTACCATCTTCTGGAGTCCATTGAAGCTCACGCCTACTGCTTCAGTGACTCCATCCAGCCATCTCATTCTCTGTCGTCCCCTTCTTCTATTGCCCTCCATCTTTCCCAGCATTAGGCCCTTCTCCAGTCTGATGCAAATAGGCAATGACAATTAAGGATGAGGAGAAAAGTGGCACAGTAATAAATTGCAGACTTTCATTATCTTACTCATTCCCCATACTAGGAGGAGAAGGAGGGAGAGGAGGAGGAGGGGGAGGGTCTGCTTATCAGCTCTGATTTTAAACATAAATACTTAAGCATGAGCACTTTCACATGACAGATATTGTATGTGTGCATCATAAAATCAGAAAGGAGTTCCCGACTTCCTTAAGTGAATGGAGGCATCTGTCTGTAATCATAACTACGAATATACTAGCTGCAATAATGATGCTGGGGCTGCTTGCTTCTGCTCCACTGGATATGTCTCCCACATCTACTAAGAAGGATCTGGAGCCTGGATTTTGATCCTGAGATGCAAATGCATTCTTTACAAGTATACCAGATCTATCGGTTAGATCCCACATTCAAAAAAAGTAACTGCCTACTACCCCAAAAACATGCATTTCAGCCCAAAAGAGGTGTGCATTTGATTGCAGTTTCTGTAACTGACCATGTTTATTCCACACAGTGTTCCTTCTGCAGCCGGCATAAACTTTGTCTCACATCGATGACCTACTTTATGGCACCAGAGTGATTTGCATATATCCTGAGAATATTTTTGTAAAAAAGAGAGAGAGAGAGAGAGAGAGAAAGAAAGAAAGAGAGAGCTCTTATTACTTTTAGTTTCCATATTCAAAGTAAAGCAGCTTTTTCATTCCAAGAGTTCCATTCTTTTAGAAACAGTAGGATGCATGCAATATATATGTCAACGCTGCAAATATTGTATATTCTTGCTTTTGACAATATGCAGAATTGTCTGGTAACTACGGGGTTAATAAAGAGCAGAAGGGGCGTTGGGAGTAAAGCCCGGGAAAGAAAGAGGAAGAAAACATTTGACCTTCACACTAATTGGATAATGTGAGATATGACAGCTAATTTAGGGAGGGAACATGCTGATAATTTAACTGCTCAGAACTTAGATCCTACCATCCCTCCGTTGTGCCTGTGCTGATATTTTGTAACAATAAAAGACTTTTAGGAAAATAAATGCCTGGAAGTTCTTTGGAATGTTTCATTAGCCGGAACCACATCAATATATTGTAAAGTGTTTTACTATTTCTGCTGTTTTGTTCTTCTGTTTTTAATAGGTTATAAGGTTATAACTTTTCAAAATGGCTCAGCAGGTGGCCGCACCTAGCTGATCTTGGCTGATCTCAGAAGCTAAACAGGATCAAAACTCATTAGCCCTTGGGTGAGAGGCTTCCTAAGAATCTGTTGTTGGCTAGACTAAGAGTTGATCCAAACATCTGTAATTTTGTTAAGAAAGCTGCCCAAATGCCCTGACTAGGAGTCACGTTGGACTGAATGGATCTTCATCTTGACCTACCAGTTGTCTACATAACCTCAAAACTGAGCTCTATTCCCACGATTGACAGGTACCATGAATGAATTGGGAAACTGAGGCATTCCTATTCCCCAGTCCTCGTCTTCCTCCACAACACAAGGACACCCAGACATTGTATATTCTCTACAATTACAATTTGCTTCCTGTAAGCCCGCTCCTTTTCCTGCAGCTACAATCGACCATCTTGACTTCCAACCAAAGCTATGCCTTCAAAGTAAGCCATGGCTTTGCCCAACAATTTAAGATTTAGAAACCGTGAAGACCCTGGAGCTGCTTGGAACCCCTCCATTCATTCATAAACCTCTTGCTAAGATCTCATTGTTCTTCTACAGTGCAAGTTCTAACAGTGTCAGGAAACTGCAATTTTTTTTAAAAAAAAAAATATCCCCACGTGGATAGGTACCTTCACGAAACTCAAGTTGCAGAGTTTTGCTTTTGCTCCAAATTGCCATTTGCATTGTGTGTCGGCATCGTAGATCTGTCCTGGGAGTTTATCAGGATATTTGTATTGTCCAGCTTGTTTGGGCTCATCTATCAGACACGCTGCCTGAGCAGTGCTGTGAAACAGAGCAGCAAGTACCTAAATCTTTGCTCGTCCCAAAAAAAAAAAAAACACCTGATCCCAGATTTCAGATTTAAAAAATGCAATTCTCTAGGCTTGGACTTACTTGAGAAACTTGTTAAGGTATTGCCGGCTACACACTGACCATGAAAACACTCCATTGTTGCCTATGAGAGTGGGAGACATGATGTTACCTTCAGCTTTTCGACATGGGTTTCCTTCTCCGTCGTGAATCATGCCAAAACTGGGCATGCCAGGAAAAAAAAAGAAATCAATTTATTATAGCACCAAGGCCAGACACAGTGGAATATTTAATAGTAGAACTACTACCTACTTGTATATATGTTTAATAAAAAGATAACTATAGTCAGATCTAAGAAATAATTAAGAACAGATATCATAAAATAAAACAGAAGAAAAATGCAACCATACAAAGTTTCAAACTTAATGGCGCAGTGTACTGTAGGGATGCCAGCGCAAAACTGGGCAACTTGGAAGAAGATTGCACTCACTAGATACAGCAATCTGTAATAAAAACTTACTATGCATACGTGGTTAGAGCAAAATGACTAAAAAACATGTAGATTTTAAGCCAGAACTATTTTTGTTAGGCATAATTGTAGGAAATTATGAGAAAGAGTATATATATATCTAATTTTACATGTATTAACTGCAGAATTGTGTTCGCTCAACATTGGAAAAAATGAAGATTTACCAACGGAGGAAGAGTTAATTAAAAAAAATTAGATTGTGCAGAAATGGATAGATTGACATTGAAAAGGAAAGAGAAAGAAGATTCAGTTTATTTTAGAACGTGGGACACCTTTTATCAATGGCTAGAAAAACGAGGTAGAAAGACCATTTATAGAAGCTTCTCTGGGTGATCTAAGATCACAATAATTTAAGACCAACAACACCAGAATGATCTATTAGTTAGGGGTTTGAAACATCCTTGATGTTTCAAAAATATTGGGGTAGTGCCAGCCACAGTCAAATTTGTTGAAAGAGGAGTGATGTGTGAAGTTAAATAAATGCTTTGCAGATGACTAAGCATTTATTTATCTTTAAATACTCCATATTATTTTGCAGAGCCAGTGGTGACTATTGACACAAAACAGCCATCTCGGTGATGGAATCTGGACTTTAGCATTTCTTTTCAAAGACGATTTGCTTGCCCCATTAATCTTTTGCCATCTGAAGCCATTAACAGGGCTTTACTGGCGCAAAAGGTATTTGAGACGGAGATCAATTGGCTTATGCTCATACAGTATTAGAGTCCTACTGTTGTTAATGCAATACTCACATTCTTTTAGTGCTATTCTATATCTTCTCCTTTCCCCCAAAAAAGCCTTTTCAATGTCTTAGAGATGGAAAAGTCGGAAAGAGGGAAATAAATGAATGATTTCGATTTTTTTTTAATCATCTGCCTTCTTCTGAATGTTGCTACATCTATAGGTCATTGCTTCCCAGACTTAGTTCAGTGACTTAAAAGAGGGATCTGTGGGGCCCTTGGTGCTCTCAGTGGTTTTCTTGCAGACATTTCATTACCAGACTAGGTAACATCATCCATGCTGATGTTACCTAGTTTGGTAATGAAGCATCTGCAAGAAAACCACCAAACTCAGAAAATACCACCAACCCCACAGTACAGTCCTGAGCTAAATATTTTCTCTATTGTTGATTAAATGGGAACTCCCTAAGGAGGAATTGCTTTTTTCCTTGGTCCCATGAAAAAGAAGCAGGAAGAGATAGAATGAATCTTTCCCAGGACTGTCCACAGTGACACTGACCCACCAGAAATGAAAATAAAAGCGAGGAAGTGGTGATAAAATTGTGTCCCTGCCAACAGCTTGTATGACTGAAAAAAAAAATGATAGCCTCACCCATCTCCGATCATGCATGGTTTGCATATGGAGTAGTGTTACCAAAGTTAGTGTTTCTCAACTACATCAATTTTAAGATAGGTGGACTTTAACTCTCCAAATTTTCATGCGGGGTTGGAGAAGTCCAGCCGTCTTAAAATTGTTGAGGTTGAGAAATACCGATCTAAGAGAAGGGATGGTGGCCTCGTTCATACAAACATATCCACGGTTTCTGCCATTTTCTAAGAGAATGAATCATTTTAATTATGGAATCTCTATCACTGTTTTCCACCCCACAAGTTGGACAGAGAATTTGGGGATATTACCGATGCCTCCCTCCAGTTTTTCCATTTTTAAGCCTCCGGCTTCCATAATTGAATTCAACCTCATCGGTTGAATTTCCAAAGAAGGATGCTCTGATAAAACTTACATGATTTATTTAAAGAAAAAAACCCTACCTCTAATTGTTTCAAATGTTCTCTCCCCTCCATAATTACTGTCTGACTGCTAATAGGATCATTAGGCAGACTTCTAAAGGACTGTCTGCCTCTAGGCAACTGAAGTCCATGGCTGCCAATTTCCCATATTATTCAGCTGAAAAGGCGCACGCTTGGACAAACAACAAACGGGGGAATTTCCTAGCAGTTATTGGCAAATGAATGAACTTCAGTCTTTCCAAGATACTTTTTTTTTTGGAAGGCATTTCATAAATGCTTCCTGTCCGGATATCAACAATTATATGAAAGAGAAAGTGAGGAAAAGGAGGAAAAGGAGAACAAAAATCCCAGAAAGAATGTTATTTACTATGCACTCATCAAAACAGAAGATTATAATGCAAAAGCACGAAAAAAATATTGCATAATTCTTTTTCATTCTCACTGAACTCGGTCCATTAGATACAGGGAGGAGCTCTGTCTACTGTAACTCTCATTAATTTTAATAAGGGTATTGAAGGATAATAACATTATATGCTCAGATCAGAATGGCACCTCCTGGATGGCTTTGGACCAGTGATTCTCCCTCAGTCCAGGGAAAAAAGGAGAAGGGAATATGATGGAGAGTGACTTGATCTTCTGGAAAAAAGCTAGAGAAAGCTTTTAAATCTTTTAAAGCAAAACGTCTTCTTAGGTCCAGTTGACTTTTGAAAAAACACCTTTGAGACAACCATGACCTGGATGACATGAGAATCTCCATAGATATCTTCTAACAAGGTGGATATCCATACAACCTCATTGAATATTCAATCCATTATAGCTCAACTAACACAAGCTATGAAAATGTTAACACTGCCAGACAGCAAAACCATTTCAGAAACAACTGACAGTCTATTACAATCACATCACCAAAGCCTACAAACCAACTAACACCTTAAGCAAATCAAAAGAGCCAGTAGCCCCAGAAGAAAAAACAGGAGTCATCTAAAACATATAGCAAAAAGACTATAACAAGCAGAAGACTAGCAGAGCACATCCATGAACACCAGCTAACAGTCAGAAGACAAATTCTTAATTTCACAACATATGGACAGATTTAAGAATAGTATCAACTGAGAAACTGAGAGCATCCTACTAAATCAAAGAAAGAAAGCTAGGGAAGTCCTGAGAACTTGGTACAGACAAATCAGCCATGTATAGGCACATAGAAATAAACAACATTTACATAACATTCAAAATAGATAACAAAAAAATCTAAAAAGGAAACAAAAAGACCAGAACACTTCCTCTCCAGCAGTTCACACCCATATAAGCAGGAATTAACACCAGACAAACAATGAAGGAGTAAACAACAGACTAATCAAGGAATCACTAAGGAGATAACCACATTTCCACCAATTCTGTTAGTTAGGGCAAGTTATGTCCTTAGGCATTCAATTGCTAGCTTTTCTTTTTATGTACTACAAGTGTGTAAAAACTGGAGCTCAATCAAACTATAAAAAAGGAATGTGAGTTAAAGAAAAACTACATATAAAAATGTCCCGGCCTGATTGCTAAGTAGGTCATTCCTTTAACGGTGTACAGATTGGATAGATAGAGAAATACATGGCTGAAACTCTGGATAATCCCTGTTTTTTCTGACCTTGCTTCTGGATTAACATCTCTCTTCACTTTCTCTCACCCAGTACCTTTTTTTGTGATTGTGTCTCATGGTTTTGGCCTGTCCGTTTGTTTTGTCACTTATCTACTTGGTGATCTGATCCACAGACCCATGAAGGGACCAACCAATCGCTATTATTATAATCTTACTCTGAGCAAAGAAGGGTAGAATTATATCACAACAGGATTAACCAATCAGTGCTGATTAAGCAGTTTTGAAACGGGGGGGGGGAATGATTCTGAGAAGAAAATTGTGGACATGCTCCAGTCGTAACCAGTGTGTGTCCTCCATAATTCTGCCCCTCTCCCTACCTCCCCCCTTCACAAAACAGTGCACATCTCAATTCAAAAGGTCCAAGGACTGAATTCTGACACTCGTTTTTTATGGTTTGCCTCCCACCCACCTACCGAAACAACGCCTGGCAAAAATTAGCACTGGGTTAGGATTAGTCTTTTAATTCCTCATTTCCTTTCAGATGAAGAGAAATCAGTCAAAGGGCCACTCATGCAAACATGAGGTCAGAGCCAGTCTTCCACTCTGTATTTACACAGTCAGGACTGAATAGCTCGGAACAGCTCATGCAGAATTGGGGATTCACCTAGCTGCATGTGAAGACTGCAGCTTGGCTGTTGATAAAAAAGAATGAGCTGAATGGAGCTGTCAACCATCAAAGGCGAGTTTCTTTTCCATAGAGCCTCCTCACAAAAGGACATTTGGGTTTAATCTTGATACATGCTCAAAGCATGGTTAGATGCTACAGAACCCATGGGAATACAAAGATAGGAAGAACCTTCATTTGCTTGAATGTGTCCTTGCTAGTCCTTATCATAAACACTAAGTGGAAAACAATAGATATTAAAATCTAAAAATGTGCAATAAAATGCATTCAAAATAGCCACCTGACTGCAAGGACTACAACGCAACTCTTCCAATGTAGGAAGATTTAATCCAGCATCTTCAGATAAGACTGGTAATCATTGATAATAAATGATAAATTTCCATCAACTCCAGCTGTCAAAGATAATAGATATTTTGTTTTAAAATAATAGCTGGGATCTGTTCAGAAAAGCCTTTTAGAAAAACAGTCAAACTAATATTCCAATATTCTGAATAATATAACAAATCTCTCAATAAACATTGGTTTATGCTGTAAACCAAATTCAGATCTAATAATCAAGTCTATAATTCACAATTTTATTCTTATCAAATGTTTGGCAAACCAAGAGAGAATGCATATCAAATGCATTCTCTATTATGCTAGAGAATCAAATTCATAGTGCAAAGACCATTGCATTTGTCAGAAAGAAGTCCCAACTGACTTTTCTTTAAAATTGGGGAGACATGTCCATGTCCATATTTTTCCAGATGTTGATGCCTCCCCCAAAGTCCTATCAATATTTGGAGGCAAACAAAGTGCCTCTTTCGGGCAGCCCCTACCTAAATATTATGCTAGGCTTTCAGATACCAATTTTGAGTTTTAACTATCCTCTCCCAATCAAGGGCAGAAAATTGTAGCCTTGGTGATGTTACTACATTTCTCTGTATTCTTTGGTGATTAAAGATATTGCTTTCTCCTTCTCGTATAATGCCACTAAAAGAGGCAATAAAACCCTATGACCAGATCTTCAATACCAAAATTTACATCAAACTGAGCATTAATAGCCTAGAGCACCATGTCAAGATACCACAATTACAATGAATGAAAAGCATTTATTTTTGATACATTTGGTAGGGATAAAAACGCGTGAGAAATTGCTTACTTGTGTCCAGATTCATGGGCAATAGTAAATGCCAAGCCAAGGCCAGTGTCTTCATTGATGGTGCAACTGCGGTATTTGCTGCACATTCCACTGATAGGAGCAAAGCCTGCCGGAAATTATAAGAAATAGGAAGCACAGTGGAGGAAAAGCATGAGATTTTTAAAAGTACTGCATTCTACTGCATAACTTTATGGAAATTAAGGCCACGTTTTAGAGGCTGAACATTCACGGCATATTTTGTTTCCTCCCGTAAAAGGAACAGACAGACATGGAAATAATGGGGCCAATCCAACATAAATTTATCTTGTCTGCAACAGCTGGCCTGCAAAACTAACACAAGCTCATTTTCTCTGCTGACTCAACATCAGTCTAGGTCAGCTGGGAAAATGGTTTCAAAAAGAGATGCCAATTCTTTTCTGAAAGTCAGCCAGGAGGAATTAAGAATGATTGGCTAGCGATATTCCCAAAATCTAAAACAACAGCACTGGGAAGCTTCCTAAGCACACTGGCCATTAAAATGGGATGATTCTCTTGCCCAGATAATTCTTCTTTGGGGATCTCATTTATGTTGCCCCAAATCCTACTGTTAATATCGAAGGAAAAAATAAAAGTTGGAGATCAGTTTGACTTTTTTTATCATCTGTATTTTCCTATTGGTTTGCCTTGGGGTTTTGATTAGACATGCATAGAGAGGTTTAATGTTACCTCATGCTATTATAGGTATAATATATATATATATATATATAATCCCATCTCATGTAGTCTTGAGCCTAATACTCCTTCTCCTCTCTATATTCAGAATATTTAAAATATTGAAACAATAGATGAACTTTAATATTAAGATTAATTATTATTAATAAAATAATATTAAAATTAATAAAAATTTTGACATTAATATCATGTATTTCAGTGTTCAGTAAAACACGATTTTGGCTGATGAATTCTGAAGCCAATGGGGAATAGAATAGAATGGAATGGAATGGAATGGAGTGCAATGGAGTATATAGAATAGAATAGAATAGAATAGAATAGAATAGAATAGAATAGAATAGAATAGAATAGAATAGAATAGAATAGAATAGAATAGAATAGAATAGAATGATAGGATAGGATAGGATAGGATAGGATAGGATAGGATAGGATAGGATAGGATAGGATAGGATAGGACCCTGGAGGTCTTCTAGTCCAGCCCCAACTCAAGCAGGAGAACTACACATCATTTTGGGGGTTTTGGTGCTTTTTGAGCTTGGTGGCTTTCCTGCAAACGTTTCATTACCAAACTAGCTAATATCATCAATGTATTACTTTGGTAGTGAAATGTCTGCAGAAAAACCACCAAGTTCAGGAAGCACTAAGGACCCCACAGTTGAACCGTGAGCTACAAATATGCCCTTCCATCAACAGATCATTTGCCATCCATGTTCCCGTGAGATATTTTCTCTGTCTTACCTAAAGTGTCACAAGGCTCATTCTTCCAGGAGCAAATATCAAATCCAGTAAGCAAGATAGCATGATCGTGCCTTTTCCCATTCTTTCCAACCAAAGCTGACTGCCATTGGCAAAAACTGTTCAGTGACTGGTCTGCATGGTGGTTGATCACTAGTCCCCCCTATAGAAAAATTACAGACGATCACAAAACTTAAACCCCATTAACAAGCGAAAGGAGAAATTCTAGGGAGGCAATAAAGTAGACAGAGAGCAGCACGCATTTGCACTTGCTTTTCACTGTTAAGAACAATGCCATTTAGGATTCAGCATTCTGAAGGCCACTTTTTTCGAACATAGAATCATAAGGCTGGATGGTATCTCTGAGGTCTTCTACTCCAACCCCTTGCTGAAGGCAGAAGACTTTATACCATGCAGGACAAATTGTTGTCCAATCTCTTCTTGAAAACCTCCAGCGATGGAGTACCCACAAATCCAGGAGGCAAGCTGTTCCATTGCTTAATTGATCTCAAGGTCAGGAAATTTCTCCTTTCTTCTAGGCTGGATTTCTCTTTAACAAGCTTCTACCCATTATTTCTTGGACTATCCTCTGGTGCTTTGGAGAGTACAGTAATTCAATCACATTTTCTCTTTTCATTTGTTTATATTTAGCTTATACCTTGTCATATTTTTTTAATCTATCAAAAACCCTACTTGAAAGGCTGCCAAATTAATTGTCAACTGCTACCTCGGTCACCTATTATGATAGTCAAATTCAATTATAGGTATATAATACCAAGGCATGCAGCCAGAACATACACGCATCTCTCTATTATTAAATTAGGTAGAAAAAGGGCTTGCTTCTTTAGCATTCTGATGAGAAATCTTTTCTGTCTAGTATTTTTAGTATTAGTTTAAAAACCTTATGGAAATATAGCAGAAACCAGTAGCAGCCCTTAGATAATAGAGCATGGGCAACTTTTTTTTAAAGCCATGTAACCTTTAAAGGCAAATTGTTGAGTAAAGCTAAATGAAACATGGTCTTCAACCGCTGCAGAGAAAAAAAATTGATATCTTACTTAAATAAGGAACAACATCACACAAACAAGTTCTCTCTCTCTCTCTCTCTCTCTCTCTTTATCTATCTCTCTAACTCTCTTCTCTCTCTCTTTCTCTCTCTTTCTATCTATCTATCTCTCTAACACTCTCTCTCTCTCTCTCTCTCTCTCTCTCTCTCTCTCTCTCTCTCTCTCTCTCTCTCTCTCTTTTCTCTCTTTCTCTCTCTCTCTCAGACATCATGGGTGTTAAACTGAGGCCCAGCTTCAGTGCTTTCACCTTTCTGGAGCCTTTTATTGATTTGACTTTGAAGACCATTAGCCTAACATACTTAGCATAATACAACCCCACTCACATTTTTCAGATTCAGTTTGAGGAATAAAACCAAGAGGAAAAGAAGATGAGGAAAAGGAGGGACAACAGCACATGGGAACATACTCTCGAGAATCAATGGACTCCCATTAAAAAGCCACAGAAAAAGAAAGGACACTTGCAAATATCATAGAGGAAATACACATAGATATTCCCTTCCATTTCTACATAGGGAGGCAAGTTTCCTCTTAAAGCAAGGTAGTGTTAGAAAGAGAATTCAGAAGGGCCCATTTTAGTGTACTCCTGATAAAGGAAGAACTAAAATATGTACAGATCCATTCTATAACTTTATCCCTTGCATTTTTTTTCCTTGTAATAATTCTGGCTAAACAAATTTTTGTTAGAAACTAGTTTTCTGGGTTACTGTTATGAATTTGACAATCACTGCGTTTATTGCATATGGTTCATAAACTCAAGAGAATCACCGTGAAAATAAATTCTTCAGAGCAATTTCTTATATAACGGGCTTGTGTGTGAGCCTCAATGCCCTAACCCTTAGCTTTATGTAAAACACATTCTGACCAAAACTGACTTACAGGTTCTTGTTCCAAAAGAAGAAGGCTCACAACAACGATATTGATGTCACTTCCAATTGTACCATCCTTGAAAAGACTTGAGACCTGTGAAAAGATTAACATAACAAAAGAAGATAAGGAGGGGAAAAAAGTGGTTGGCAAGCAAAACTAAAAGGAAGATTAAATTCACTCCTGACACAACTATGAGATTAAAATAGAAATGGACAACGGAAGGCTTGAGGGTCACAAGGAACACATCCTCTCTTTGTTTGGGTCCCATCAAAAATTGTGCAGGAAAAATTGTGTGGTAAGCCACTATAGTTCAAAGATACTTTGGTAAACATGAGGAAGGGGGCGGGGGGCATTAGTGAGAAAATGTGAAAGTATCTCAACAATATAATCTAATAAATCTAATCAAATAGAAGCAAGATTGACCCATTGGCATTTCTAATTCTTGATGGAAACTCGAACAGACCATGTAAATATGGACAAGGGAGGACAACTATTATGGGAGGAAAAAGGGCCTGGAATCACAAAAAACTTTCCTCTTGGTTTTGCAAATTAGAGTGGTTAATTAAAATAACTGTCTTAGCCTGGTTTTTACTGCACATTTGATTTTGATTTAACATGTTATGGATGCCCCAACTATTGCATTTGACTATCCAGCTTTAGGGTTTTGGTTATCATATAAATTATCTAACCAATTGTGGTTGACAATTAAACAAATCATGGCTTCATAGAGCAACATGGCTCAATGCCATTTCTGAATCTTAGAAAGCCACTGCAAAAGAAGGAATCAACTGCGGAAAATGATCTTGAATAGGTAAGTTCATAAGACAAGACAGAGATCCTTTAGAAGTCAGCAAGAGTGTTATAGCCCAAGATCGGATCTTTAAATTCCTTCTGCAAACAGTCTAGGAGCCAGGAAATAATATACCCTGGGATCTCTTCTGTACGCAACTTCAGGCTTTATGCACCCTAGTGATTAATGAAGGGTACCAGTAGCTGTGTCTACTGCCAAAGAAGCAAAGATGCACTCCTGCTCCTGCTAACACAAGCGAGGAGAAAGGTCAGGAGGGCGAAAAGGGAGCAAGTTCACAACCTCATTTCCTTCCTCACTTTGAAGCAAAGCGTAAATACTTGAGCAAGGCCACAGCATTGATGGCATTGTGCGGTTTAATCTAACATGACAATGTGGCTTGTTTGTATCAATGCTGGGCATGGACCCAGTCGAGTCCTCTTGCAGAAAGAAATGGCCAATGAAAGCTCTAAGCATTATCTTTTATCCACCTTTGTTGTGCAAGATCATCAGGTAAATATTAAGTGAGCCTCTTTCAAAGAGCCCCCCACCCCTTCTTGAAAAGTTGTATGTTTGAAACAGACAAATAACTATTATTACAATGAGTAATAATGCTCATAGGCACTATGCCCTGGTCACCTCCTAGATGGACTGCTGTAACATACTCTAAATTAGCTGCTTTTGATCTGGTGCATCTGATGCAAAATGTAGTGGCATGGGCAGTTACGCATGCTTCAAGAGCTGCATGCATTACACCTCTGCTTCCCAAGCTGCATTGGTTACCAAACTGCTTCCAGATCCAACTCAAGGTGCTGGTTATGACTTTTAAAGACCTAGGTGGCATGGGAGAGTTTTTGAGGGAGCACCTCTCCCCAGTGACATCGACCCATCCCATCAGGTCCAGCAGAAGAGGCATGTTACGGGTCCGGTCAGCCTGGAACTTTCATTGGGAGAATTCTAGCAAGAAAATCTTCTTGCTATAACCTCTGCCCTGATGAACAACATTCTCCCAGAGGTGAAGCTGGCCCCACCTGGTTAGCCTTCCAGTGATGAGCTCAGGGATACCGCGATAGAGTGGAGCATGTTGGATGGCTACATCCTTGTCTTTTTACTCTGTTTTATATATTTTGTTTTATATCTGCCACCCATAGTCACTATGTCAGATGGGTAGGTAGGTAGGTTGGTAAGGAGAGACGAAAGAAAGAAAGAAAGAAAGAAAGAAAGAAAGAAAGAAAGAAAGAAAGAAAGAAAGAAAGAAAGAAAGAAAGAAAGAAAGAAAGAAATCAACATTATAAAACTATAATTATTCTCAGCATCCCTTGGTTCAGTGCTCTGATGTTATTTGTGCATAAGTTTCTTGAGAAGTTTCATCCTCATCTGCAATTTGCATATGCATAAATATATATATATCTCCTTGTGAGCTTCCATTAGGGAATGCCTGATCACCATAAGAATGGAATCCTGGACTAGATAAGTCTTTAGGCCCAGCCAGATTGGCTCTATCCTGTTTGAATGGGCAGAGAGGTACTGATTCTCTTGATCAATAATTTGCAAGTTGCAAACCATTTTCTGGCGGCACATCTCAAACTGCAAGTACATTGGGATGTGCAAGGCAGCTGAGGCTCCTCTCAGCAGGATGCTCATTCTGTGCCACAGAATGAAATCATTCTCCTGACTGAGGCACAGGGAACCCAATTTGCTTCATTTAAGTGCTTGGCTTCAAAGCAATAGGACTTTCATTAGCCGGAAGAGATTTTAGGCATGTAATATTCAACAACAGAAATCTCTTCCAGTTCCTGCCAGCATTGGTTGATTATTATAATCAATTATCTATTGATTATATCCCGAAAAAGCTTACTTTTATACTATTCCCTTTCTATATTCAGTTGTGCTGAAGGACCGATTCCAGAAAATTTATGGAGGAAGAAATTGCCCTTGTCAGTCTGGCAATAGTGAATCATTGACCCACATAGAGATACTCATAGTAAGCTGCTAACACCCCTCATTAGGCCATTCTGTCAAAGACCAGATTAATTTTACATGAAGTTTCTCTTGGAAGACAAAGAGTCTAAAACAACACTAGCTAAGGCTGCATTTGCATTTGTATCTTACAAAACTCTGGCTTTGTTAACCATAAATTAGCGTGGGACTGATTACTACTTCCATGAAGGGGGGTACCAAGTTTTCATATTGTTCTTATATCACTTTACTATATTGTATTGGACTGTACTTTGATATGCATGGTAGTCTAGGACTGGTTATAAAATAAGAAAGAAATGCTGGATGAATTATTTAAGCTTGAGCAACCTAAAGCAACGTAAAAGACACTCTGCTCTGTTTCTAGAAGCAGACGAGAACCGATGTTCCCTATGAAATTTCCCCAAAGCAAAGAATTCTCTTGAAACACTGAACAATCCTAGTGTGCATTTTTAAACTAGCATCGACATAATTCAAATACATGGCATTTCAAAATGTACACTGCATTTCCCTGCAATCCAGATGCGGCTGAACTTCACAACTGCTATCCCTTGTAACCTTGAACCCACTTCAGGAGCCACGGTTTGTCAAAGTCTTGCCTTACCATGTTCATCACTGTTAAGATATAGGTGGTAACGTTCTCCTTGCTGTGTTTCTCCAGCATTTTCCTATCTGCCACAACTAGCGTTTCAACATTCAAACTTCCACCCTTCTGATTTTTAACGGGGGACCTTTTCAACCTTGCTTGGCTCCCATATTCGTCAGATAAGACGAATGTGTCTTCAGTGGGTGGCTTAGGACTATCTGAAATGAAACAGAGCCGAGATTTGGAAAAGACTCAGAACTTTACATCTAGGAAAAGCTACCTTCGCTATATTGTTGGCAAAATTCATTTCACATCTGACAATCTAGTTTTCATAATCACATTTTAGAAGCATCCATCTGTGGAACTCATAGCAGAAATAAAAACAGTCTCTATCCTAAAGCAAGCACTGAAATTCCATTTATGGATTCAACTGAGGGAAATGTTAGGTGTCCTGCCTCATATCCTGGCCTCCGCGTACGTGCCCCAAACCCATGTGATCTGATATGTTTGATCCATACCTGCCATTTGTCCAGAACTCTAGACTGTACATATAAAAGATTATCCATATAGTTTTATCCAACAGAAGCTGAAGTAGAACAAACTGATATGACCCTGAATCATGATTTCATTTCTATACAGGAATGCATGAATAAGTCAGGGATTATAGGAATATAAGGAGGAATTCTGAGGTTGTAGTCTACATTAAGCATATACTTTTCTCCATGTCACTGTAAATCTCATCAAGAAAAAATTTCATAAAATATGGAACACATGATAAGCAAATAACCTGCTGATGTATGAAAGCATCTCTACAGGGAAAATGTCAGCCTTCTGTAGTTGTAGATTGCCTGTATGAAAACATCTGATTATTTGCAGTCAGATCATGCTTTAGAACAACTAAAATTACACAAGTTGCAACTTACTGCTGAAATTCATGGGGGGAGGGATAGTAAACATTTTTGTGTTGTACCGAGTTTAGCATAATCTTGCGAAAATGAAATAGAAAAGTTACTACTTCAAAAATATTTACTAGGACCCAACAAGCTAAGTATGATACTGGATGTGATAACACCATCAACTTTTGGAGTGTTCTTCAGCACACATATCTCCATATGTCTAGAATAAGCTTCTTTAATTTGAAACTTTAGGAGACAGATGATAACTTTCGCCTCTGACATTTTGGCTGGAAAATGATGGGAACTGGAGTCCGACATGTGCAAAGAACATCAGATTGGGAAGTCTGGCATAATACCAATTATGAATGTATGAACCCATTAGCATCCTCGAAAAAGGAACCCAAAATATTTAGTTCTCCATGTACCCATTAGATGCTTACATGTATCCACTGACCCCAATATATTATGTCCCACGTAAAGACATTCTGAACATCCTGTTCTTAAGATGACTGAATACTGAATGTTCCAGAAATGACTGACTACCAACATGGACTATTTCAAATGGCCCATGTAGGGTGTGAAGCACTTTAGATCACTTCTGAAGTGCTTGGAATGGTCCATTCCAAGATGGTAAATTCTGTGGTGGGCTTTTTGGACACTTTGGCATCCAAATCAAGCCTGCAAACCTTGAGCACAACAATAAGAACCTTACATTCTTAGGACTACTAGGTCAAAGAGAGAGACAGAGACAGAGAGAAAGAGAAAGTTTCCTTACATACATTTCTTGCGCCGTCCACAAAAATGCTGCTTTTGAAACCTTCCATGGTGATAATCGTTAGCTGGAATGTGATACTTGTGGGCAGTGAGATTGCTGTGACGGTCAAGGGGAAAGTGGTAAGGATTTGAATCTACTTTGTACCGGTGCAGCACTTTCTCTTCAGCTGTCCGTTTATACAATACATGAGGGTGGTGTCCAGCAGGTGGCTTATAGTGAAGTTCCTGTGCTAGGTGTTGAGGTAATGGTGATATAAGGAAGTCATTCTCCTGTGTCCTTATCAAACCTGACTAAAGACAAAAATATAAAGGAAGGTATTGGTTATAAACAGTTTCACTAAACACAGGTTTCTCAAATGCAGTCACAAATCATCAGTTTTGGTCCTTCTTTGAGGCATCTATCCATGGGGCTGAAACAATCATCCTCTAACACCTCTGAACACTCCACAAACCCCTACTGGAGTCAGTGTGTGGTCTGCAACTTTGCAGTGCTACGTTTCTCCAATAGCTACTCAAGCTTACTCTAGGATGTGAATACTTTTCCAGAAATGGACCTATTAGGAAATGGCACATGCCTCTTCAAAGTCAAAATAAGTGAGTATCATTAAAGACTTCTTGGAGGAAGATTTGGAAAGGCTCCAACATTTTCCAGAAGAAATCTCCAAAGGAATGCCAAAAGAAGCAAGTAAGTTGGAAGAGAAATCAAGCAATAGGAAGTGTATATTTATTCTCCTTGGCATGGAAAAAGTAGCTCCTCCTCTTCCTCCTCCTCCCTCTCAGATCCCAATCTGGAAATTTCATCCATCTAAAATATTTTTAAAAAGTTCTTGCTTACTAGAAAGACTGTATGCATGAAAAAATACATATTTTTTCATAAGGAATTCTGCCTTTATTATCCTAATCTACCACTACTTCACTCGAGTTATGTATGTGTGTATATGTATATGTGTGTGTGTATTAGTATTTGTTATTTAAGTCATCAGGAAACGATGACATCATCGTATGCAGTAATGGGGATCTCACCTTGGTATCCAGTATTTTGCAATAACAGTTCATTTACTGATTTGTGTATGTCTTAATGAGATTAATTTTAAAAAACCATAAAAAAAGAAAGCAATAAATCTGTTTTAGATTTTGCCATTTAAAGGATTTCCAACATCTGAAATTATTCCTACAGGATTCATTTCGTAACTGATTTGAACCATATGGAAAAGAATGTCCTATGTCTCCTTTTTAAAAAAATCAATCCGCGGAGGACCCTTAACTGTAATTTTGCTATTGCAAGTCATATTGGTAGGCAAAGATTTTCAGAAATGTATTAGGAAAGTTGTCCTGGTTAGGGCTGATCAGCAATTTTAAAAAAAGCTTAGCTGATTTATATTTACCTGTTATTAATAACCTACATATTACCAACAGCTCAGTTTAAGTACATATTTGAGATGTGAAAAAGAAGAACCTTCTTAACATACAGAGAAGCTGGTTGCAATTTTCCAGTATTTGGCTTTTCCCCAAGGTGAGAATAAAGTGAATGACGGGTTCTGTGTGTTTCATTGTTTTCAAATGATTGTTCTTCCTGCAGGTGTTTGGAGTTTTAATTGCATATTAAGATTAGTTTTACTGCACAAATGACCAGAGTCTTTAGGTTGGGGGTAGGGAAGATATACATTTAATATAAATAAATGAATGTCTCACATGAATCTTAGCACCATTGCATTAACTTGACAAAATTATAGTCCTGAGAAAGCTGGAAACTTGGTTCTACAGTTTGTCCTTGCTGAGTGAAATTGATCTCTGTTGATTCATCAACAATTAATCATTTGCAGACATGTTGTTGGTAATACTGAGCATGCAAGCAGTGACACAACTGGACACATAGAGAAGGAATTGCCCTTCCCCAACTCCTTATATTTCTCCCACTTAGTTTGAAAAGCCTAATTAAGAAGAAGACTTTTGAAGGCAGCATCCATCCACTTTGGTAGGGTTGTCAAGAGAACTTCATGGACATGTACATAAAGTCATCAGAAGTTGAACTCAGCTTGGAACAGACTTTGCACTTGAGTACATCTGGGAAGCTGCAAATTGCTGGAAAGAGGACTGTACTATGGAAGAAAAAAAATTCATATGCACACAGCCACATGCATTCACCTCTTAACCATCTGGTCACATGCTAATTATAAGCCTAGTGTACCCAAGAGAGTTTCACTGAAATTGCCTTGTCTTTTGGAAAGATAGTAAATTTTCTTTCCATCAGATTGAGCAACTTGGCCAAATGTAGATAATTTTTTTTTCTACAACATTACATGAGCATATAATAGGGGTGTGTCTATTATTAGAGTATCTAATATTCGAAAGCAGCTGAAGAATTCACATCTCAATTAACTTATAACCAATTATAACTTATTAACAAATAATTTGCCCACGCTGCATTAAAAAAAAATCTCCTCTCCCTATTACGCCATGCGTGCATGGATTTCATTCCTTTGAGCCTTAGTTTCATGGCACAGGAATAAAATTGTGAGGAACGGCTCATCAAAATGCATGTAGGACTGAACAGAAATGGTCAATCCGGATGCAAATCCTGAATTACAATTTGGAGCAAGATGAAATTCCATATTCAGGACAGAAGAAGACAGTCAGACCAATGGTGTGGGCTCTAGACTAAACAAATCAAGATAATTAGCTTTGAGCTTTAGCAATGAATCTATCCAAAACTGCATTAAATGCCAACCTAAGGGAAGCCAATAACCAGAAAATGTGGGAGTTGTATAATCAGATTTACCCTGGTGTTGCCTTTATTTTTCAAAGCAGCTCCAAAAGGATAGGCTGGATGAAGGATGTTGCATGGATGAATCCAGAGTTACATCACTGTCCCATTCAAACTGCTTCTTCTACATGCTGCTATTGGGTTTTTTTTTTCTCAGTGCATAACTGTTGAAGGTCAAAACTCATGTGCCCAGGGAATACATTTCTACTGTATTATGTAGGCTCAAAAGATATTTTATACTCCAAAGAGTTAATACTGGCTTTAAAAATTGCATTAGGAAAGAAAGTCATTAAGGGCAAATTATCCATTGATAAGATATCACAAATAAGTTTATAGGGCAGGACTGAAAACTTACAGGTAGCTAGAATAGGGGTTATTGAACCTAATAGTATTTATACATGATTGCAAAAGGTTCAACTTATACATTAATTTTGTGGTGAAGAGGAATGTTTAGCTAACTGCAAAGCAACATTTAGTATCCATTAAAATGCCTGCATTCATTGAAAAAAAAAGTGTTCCCATTTAAACTGCCGGGATGAAAGTATGAACATCATCAAAGGGAAGGAAGTATTCAATCTCTGGCTGATTATTTTCCTACTTCCTATATATTATGCTGTCAGATACAGGAGCAACATTTGAAAGCCTCATTGTCATCTCATTCAATTGTCTTGAGCAGAGCAAAATCCAACAATTGCTCACCCACTTGGACAAGGTATGTCAATAGTTCGGAACTGAAAAGCAAGCCCTGACCTTCCATGGCTTTTAGGTTGAGGGGGAGGTGTCAAATATCTGGATTTGCTGCCATTTAACGCTCTGGATTTTGGCAGCCAGGTATGAGACTTGCTGTTCCTCTCTCTACCACCCATAGCCAATGAACAATGACTGGATTGGTGTCAAAGGTCTTGGTCAGGAAAATGAAAATCATTCTTCAGGTTTACATATCCCATATTTTGAAAAACCTCTCCTATAGAATTTCAATATGTAAGACAGCTTGTTCCTCTAGAAGTTGCACAGATAACAATAGAAAGTCCAAGGGACACTACATAGAATTTTTTGTGTTTTGACAATTTAGTGAATCTTTGGAAAACACCTCCAGAACATCATTCTATGATGATGTAGTTGTATCATTCATTACCTAGATTTTAAAAAAAAAAATTGGTTAAAGCATACATTGTTCCCATTGGTTTGTAAACATTTAACTAAATCATTGACATGCACCATTTCATGAGATCTCATTATAATGCAGAAGTAAAGAATTCAAGTTTCTCCCCATATAATATTTTCCCTCCTTTTAAAATGTTTTTTTATAATCTCTTGCCCATCTTCTCCACATTACAGATTTACCACCAGCACAACAGAAGACCAGATGTTAACTATAACCATCCTCTCAAAGTAGGCTGTTCTAATAAAGCTAAGTGTAGTTGGGTCTGGTGAGCACTTGACAAAAAATGGCAGAGCTGTAAATTAGATTAAGAAGTCAAAAACAATCCAGAAAAAAAGCAATAGCAATCCCGCTTCTATACCGTTCCAAAGAAAAATACTGGAATATTTCCAAAGTCTGAAGAAGTCCAGTCCAATTTTAGTTCAGAAGAAATGCTGCTTCACTGACTTCTCATCAGAAATGGTGTTTTTAGCTATTTTGATGACCACTGGAATAACAATATGATTTTTTTCCCCAAAAAACATGCATCTTTCTGCATCAGGTCATCAAATCTACAGTCCAAGTCAAGCAAGATTTCTGCAAATTCAGGATAACAGCCTAAATACTTTATTCGCAGTGACAGTTTCACCCTACATTGCAAAGCAAACGGGAAGCCACGGGATTAGGAGAGGAATTCCCTAATGCTTTGCTTGTTTTACTGTGAAAGAAGGGCAGCACTGTACTTTTCCTATGTTTGAACTGCAACTCATGCACCAACAAGTAGCTGATGAAAGGTTAAAATACAGGTGAGTGATAGGAAAATTTTGTCAGGAGTGGGAGAGGGGTAGTCACACAAAGGAAAATCAAATGGCTAATCAAGTCATTTGCAAAATAAATGTGAAGTTAGTGCAAAAAGCAGGAAATCTCTTTAATCAGTAATATTATTTCCTCAAAGAATGAAGACAGATGATAAGGCTGATAGACATAGATCTACTCATAGATCTGTAATAAGAGGAATTGCTTGGGAAAATTACAGTTTGCAGAAAATTATCCTCCTCTTCCTCTCTCTCTCTCTCTCTCTCTCTCTCTCTCTCTCACACACACACAGAGAGAGAGAGAGGGGGGGGGGACAAAAGTAAACAGAAAACAGAAGGGATAGTGCCCAAGAAAATTAATCTCAGCAGCAGAAGAAACAAACTCCAGTTCACTTCCATAGGGTTATTACTCTTTCTGTTTTGCTACTAATTCAGAAAGTTCGAGGAACTGAATTTCCCACATGTGAAGAATGGCATTAATCATGAGCTACCAAGATTGGAGAACCTATCAAGGGGGACTATGAAATCAGGCATTAAGGTCTTACACAACAAGAAGAAGAATGACACAATT